TTTGACTAGAGTTAAAAAGAGTTCATTATTTTATGCAGTACTATTATTATTTAAATTGAGAACATGAGATTTTCATTAGTAATCCTATATAACTCATCTCAGAGGTAGAATAAACAGATAAGTTGATCAGAACAAACACCAATAAAAAGTTTTAAAATATAGATTTAAATTATTTTATTTTCGATGATTCAAAACTTTTGTAGGCTAAAAGTGAAAACCTCATGTGCATTCACCGCGCCGAACTGATTGCAATTTTAAAAAATCACAGCTGTGATCACTACAAGGCCAATTGAAACTGTCCTAAAAACTGAGACGAAAAAGCCAACAATCAGATCGTGAAATGGCCTCTCATTTAAAAATTAGAAACTGCCTTGAAATAAAGTCATAGCCGAGCTTACAATGCGATTACAACTAAGCCATAAACTATTCTTCCCCACTTATGGAAGACTAATATGGACTAATGAACTTTTCCTGGACTCGTTTGTAAGGGTGCAAAATTGGTACACAACCCTGGTGGGGACCTTCTTCCCCGGGAGATAAGAAAAGCGGGGAGAAGGGCATTGTGTGCCTGGACACGAGCGAGTCAACAACAGTGAGCCAAATCCTTTATTTCTCTGTAAATTCCTGAATCCTTGTTCCTTCTTTTAATTGAGCGTGATTGTAAATAGTATTTTTTTAAATTGATTAAGGTTGAAATTTGTTGTTTTTTTCTTAAGTTATGTTATATGCATATCACTAAAACCATTGTGACATGTGGAATGCACTCTCACATGATCAATGTAAGAGACAACATTTATAAAATACCTCTACGAGCCTACTAGTAAGGAGTGTATAGAAATATATAGTTTTGATATATTCAGGAAGTTAGTCTCCAATGAGATCAAATTAGGTACAATGATTAGAGCTCACATTATGGTCGCAGGATCAATAAATATGGATGATACCTGCATTGGTACTGACTATAGATACAACGGAGTTTATTACAAACAAGTTATAGTTCAGGCCCAAGTAAACGCCATATTCGACCAAAAGCCATCGAATGTTGACTTACAAAAAAATGAGATGCAACTGCCAGTATGATGGGTTTGGTTTTCTGGAAAATTCTGGATATATCACAAGGGACAAAGATATAGATTCTAAGTCCTGTGAGAATAAGCAATATGAAGTTATATATGAGGGTGAAGGAAAACTTGAGTCGAAAAATGATGGCAACAAAATAATAAGTGTAGTTGCAAGCGACAGCATATTTTATGCTCAAGGGTAATATTAAATTATGTAATCAGCTGGGTATTGCTACGGAACATCCAAGACTATACATTGTGTATATTAAGAACAATATTAAATATTTCAATTTCAAATCTAATAAACCAATAAATACAGATCTCATTGCTTATTACATTTTTTTTTTCTTCTTCTCGGGGAAAAAAAATTAATAAAGCTTATGAACCGAGAAGAGAAGCGCGAGAAGCAGGAAGCAATTCGCGGCCTGCAAGATCCTGATCGGGAGGGCACTGGGTCCGAGATTTAAAAAAAAAAAAAAAAAAAACAAGGAGAATCAGTTGGATATAGACGTTCCGAGGAAGAGGTGGTCTCCGCAAGGAAAGAAAATATTCTTTAAAACAGTGTATGTGTTTGTGTGGCTTGTGATCCTAGTCGTGCTGATCGGAGAGTTCCTACGAAGAGAAAGGGGCTAATCCCGACAAGTGAAGAGTGATCCCGTGAGTTGGTTCATTTCCAATTTCATATCAGGCGTGATAATTCCGGACTAGAGACATTAGGTAGAAGTTTCGGCCTTTTGTTAGCTTTTAATTTAAAAGAATTTGTCTATGAACTTGTAAATAGAATAGGTGTGATTAGTATTCTTTTTTTTTTTTTTTTATCATAGTTTTAAACCCTAAGTAAGCTAAATACCTTAAGATACTTTGCTTGTGTTAACGAATTAACTCGGATAGAAGAAGGAAGAACTTCATCATTTAGCTCCCATCATAACCCTGGGTGGAAGCGTCATCCACCGAAGCGCTACATCGGACGTCTGGGGCCTGACACGGAAAACGTATCTGTCCTTCCTTTTCCCTTTCTTTCTATTGTTCTACTCATCTTTTCTTTTTTTTCCCCCCTGGTTTCGGTATATATCCTCCTCCAAAAAAATACCGCTCAACATAACAACTAAATAAACTTTCACCTCCTCACCGATCATCACTTGTCTATCTCTTCAACACATCCCCCCCTTCTCCACTGGGCTACCGCCAACATACGTGCAGCCACAGTAAGGAAGCTGTAACATGCTTACATCAACACTAAAATTGTTTATGTTGAAAGGTATATTGGTAATAAAATGACAAGCATGTATGATAACTTAATGCTCCAAAAATGTCCGAGACTACAATACTTACAAACCAGTTAGTGCTGGCTTATACTTCTGAAGATGAATTCGCATATGCGTACAAAAAATCACCTGGTGACACTGCATTAACTAGAGGAGAAATAATACATCTTATAAAGTATGTGCCAGTAGAAGTCACTGCAAAGACCTCTAAGAATTGTTACACAGAAATAGTAGTTGATTACAAAAATACTACAGCATATCTCAGTCCGAGGAATCGCTCACTAAAAATGATAGGAACACCTCTTCATTGCAATGCTTTAACCCCTGTTATGTATCACCTGGCGTTGCACTCAACACCACATCAAGTTTCTGAGCCAGTAATTTTGGATCTTAACCCTACGTCTAATTGGACATATGAGCCAATACAAGATTTGATAAGTTCTGGACTGTACTCTATTAAAGAGATAGAAAACAACATCCTTGCAAAAACACATGTTATTTGCTGGTGAATAGAAATCATTAGATAACTCAATCGTCAGTAAGTTTAAAGGTGAGATAATTGATATATCAATAGGTGACGGTATGAACTTTCTGAATCCTGATAAATTAAATAACATAATTTCTGGAGCTAAAGACAAATTTCTAAGTGGTCTTAACACCATAGGACATCTATTATTATAGGAATTGTCAAGATATGCAAAGGATCATTGATGATCCTTAACTGTTCTTTTACTATCTCATGCTTAAGGAACTTTTTCAAGGATTCGACTGGAGGAAATTCTGCTTTTGTTCAGAAGCCAACACACTATTGGATGGTTAAATACAGGCAAGGAAAAGAGGCATATGATGAACAATATAATATAAGCAAAACATAAGGACTCACACTGATCCTACTTCTTATATTCAGAATACAGCGAATGCACCAAGAGAAAGGTTAATTGTAACGGATCAACCATCTGACCAGATTGTAATCAATCCGAACCTATATCCGAAAGTTTAAATACACGTAACGAAGTATCTAGATTGAACATATCTTACTTTAAAAAATAATCAGAAAAAAAAATTATATTGTTAGTCGTCTCAATGGACCGACGGTCCTCGACTGAACAATTCTAAGTTTTTTCCAAAAAGGAAAACAAGAGCGGGGAAAAAGGAAATATTTAACCACACACATAAAATAAAAATGTATAATTTGACCTTTTGAAATCTGATAAAAAGTCATATTTACAAAAAATGCCGTGTGAAACAAACTAAAAAAAGTCTTGTTAACAAAAAAATAAAAAATTCCTCGTACGAAAAAAAAACACAATTTCAACCTTAATCAATTTAAAAAAAATACTATTTACAATCACGCTTAATTAAAAGAAGGAGTGGGCACACTCCCTGAAGGAACAAGGATTCAGGAATTTATAGAGAAATAAAGGATTTGACTCACCGTTGTCGACTCGCTCGTGTCCAGTCACACAATGCCCTTCTCCCCGCTTTTCTTATCTCCCGGGGAAGAAGGTCCCCACCAGGGTTGTTTGTGTACCAATTTTGCACCCTTACACGTTATAAAAAAATTCAATAATCAAAAGACAACATGGGAAAGAATTGATTAAATATCTTAATAGGTTTGTACATTTCGTATTGGATCAATATTTTGAAAAAGAACGTATTTCATCCACTAGAAAATATTAAAAAATACTGTCTTGAATATATCCGTGTGTGAATTTTTTCATATTTCTTATTTTAACAAGTGTGAGTGAATAAAACACAAAAACATCGATTAATTTTCAATTTGAAAATATAAACTGATCCGTGATTATTTATAAACTTGAAGCGATATCCGTGGTAAAAAATATTTAAACTCCTCTGTGTTTTGTCCTGAATGTTACTTGTCATACAGGCAAAGCTTGAGCAGGTTAAAATATATCCAACTCATTCAAATTTCCCAAATAACCACATTTATTATATAAGGCACAATAGCATTCAGTATCACGATTCAATTTTTTTTTACAACTGATTGCAAATTAAACAATTATTATTTTATTATTTAAAGCCAAGCCGATTCAACTGCTAAAGGTTTTTGACAACAAAGAATTAATTTATTATCTCTTTTTTTAATTAAATACTTTGTTCAAAAAGCTAAGTTTAAGAAATTATAATAAATCTTAACAAATACTAAAATAAACGTTTTAACATTAACAAATAAACTTTAAAAAACATTCCTTGGAAGAAGAAAAAAATCGCTCCAAATTTATAAATAAAAAAATAATAATAATAGTGTCCAAACGAAACTATTTTCATAAATCAAATAACAAAATCTTTGTGAGACATTCCATTCGCTTAAAATGTCCGAACCTTCTTTAAAAATCATACATTTGTACAACCAAATACAAAAAATATAGATTGCTGAATTCTCCTTTAACTTGCTATTTACATAATATATAGCATCTTCGTTTATTATTCTTAATATAATATCAAAATACTGTTAGGAGGCATATTTGGTTCCTAATAAACACTACAATTCAAGTTTAGAATTGTCAAATATGTATTAGTAGGTTAAAGCTGATGAAATAACAAAAAAAAAGCTTTTGACTTCAATTAGTTGACTAATTGTCAGCAAAAAAACTTTACTAAAGGTAATAAGAGAGCTTAAAAATCAATAAACAGACGATAGCAGTAACATGACTAAAATTATGGAGAGATCTTTGATTTATTTAAAGAGCATGCATTATTTTGAAGATTTAAAAAAAAAATTCAAAAGAGAACTTAATGAAAGCCCAATTGAAGCAAAATAGATTAAATAAATAAAAAGAAAACGTTACTTAAGCATAAGTGATCAATATTTCAGAGAGCATTATGGAAACTATTCAAAGCAAAATTCTAACTTTCTTGTACGTGAGACTTTCCTCTAAACTTATTTTGTTCAAAGAATTTTTTCAAAAGTTGATTTTTTTTTCAAAACCTACCAGCACTCTGAAAAAACAACTTGATTAAAAAGTAACATCTGGTTATCGAGTACAAACCGAGAAATGCAGTCACTGAACCCACGACGCTGGAACCCATTGCGGCTCCGTCTCCACAGCAATAGCTATTCTAATTAAAGTCTCGAAAGCGGCTGAAAGGTCAGAATTAACGATAATGTCGTCGAACAAATGAGAGAACATAAATTCTATTCTTTCACCCCTGTGGATCATCGCTGCCAATTCCTCATCCTAGAAGAAGATTTAAATTTAATATTTCACACGTAAGAAATTTTCTGTATTGACTTACAGTAAACGCTCTCGAATTATTTTCATCAAAAGTCGATCTAGCGTATGAGGCAGTACGAGTTTCCTTGAGCGTATCGAACAAAGGTGGTTTTACATAAATAATATAAGGCTTTATTTGTGCTGTACGTATCATTTTTAATGCCTAAAAAAAAAAAGAAATTTTTTATTATATTCTAATAGACTTTTCTTATGATTTTGGTCTGCCTAGACATGAAAATGTGACTGACAGATCAGAATGATTGAAAGGTTGAACTAAAAATATCTTACAATAAACAGTCAAACTTCCCATAAGCAGATTTTGTCCGCATTTAGAAGGGACTACACATAGAAAAAAATCTTAGATGCATTAAATGGAAGTTGTTTGTTAAAATAAATGCTAAGTCTCCCCCCCCCCAAGCATTGGAAAGTATCGTGTAACCCTACAGGGAGAAGAGGAAGTCCATGTCAAACAGCCAAGTCAGAACCGAAGTCGATCATATTTGAGGGTTAGTTTTGTACAAAAATTAAAAAATGAGAAAATAGAGGAAATACAGCGGAGGTGTGGATCACCGGTAGGAAGGAAAGCCATAAGAGGGCAACGATGACAAGTTGAATCTCATTGCTATGAGAACCAAATGTTTATGCTTTTGGTTGCTATGAGCACAAAGGTTTACAGGTCGCCGTTGCCACGGCAATTTGTTTTGTGTTTTTCATTGACATAGAAACGGCCCTTCTTTTTGTCGAGTGACTATCAGTCATGTCTCAACTGCCAAGAAGACAACACACGCTCTTTTTTTTAATTAGATGTTTCAGGCAGTAATATTTTTATATATAAATTGTTTTGTATTGTGAATCCGATAGTTTAAGTTCAGTTCAACAATACACTACAATCAGTAGTTTTCTACGTCTCAATACACAACGGACTGCATGATTGACGGTTGGCAGTTGAGATGTGACTGAAAACATGAAATAAAAAAGGACCGTTTCTACGGCGATGAAATTCTACACATGGACCCCCAACTTCATCAGTGAACTTTTAGCCTATATATATTCTTTGTATGCTTAATCTAACATCGTTTTTCTTTCTTTTTCCTTAATGTCTTGTAGAGCTCTTTCATTGTTGTTTGAATTCTTTCATTAATTTTTAATTTAAAACTAATACATAATTTTATTTATTGGTTTTATTATTAAAATTTAAAAAATAACTTTGTTTACTTTTACCATAACCTATCTTTATCATTCTTTTTTTATCATCTATTTTTACTTGCATTAGATAACACTATTTTGTAACTTATTGCCTATTTACACTATTTTAGGATTATTTTAATATATAGAGAAGCTTTAGATCCAACCAATTTGAGTTTGTTCTTTAAAAACAAATGATTATTTGGAGATCATGAGATGCGGTCTGGTGTGACATAGGTTTAGAAATTGTTTTTAACCCAAATAATTATTAATTAACTGTCACTAAACATCACACATTTAAAAATAAAGTATTACATGCTACTGTCTGCAGGAGAAAGACACATGAATTATTAGAAGAAAAAAATTTATAAATATAAACTGGCAAAATTGAGCAGTTCAATACTAAAAAAATATAAAAAGTGACATAGAAACATAATAGCATAACTAAAGTTTACAAAATGAAAGAGAACGTAAGACAAAGCAGAAATTATTTACAAAGCTGTCGTCAGACCTTTATTTTTGTTAAGGAAGTGTATTTAAATGTTTCTTGATTCTATTCCAGGTATAGTGATGACTGCTTATAATGATATAAATATATGCATAGCTTCAACATCATTATAAACAGAATCAACTATATTTTATTTCTTTATTTACTTTTTTATTTTATTTTTTATCATTGATACCAGGAACTTGAGGAGTTTACCCTGAACCCGACAGCTTTACAGCTTATTTTCAATTAATTAAGGTTTTGGTTGAGATAAAAAAGTCAGTGTCACAAGCAGGATTCGAACCCACGACCTTCGGCTAAATACGCCGCTGCTCTACCACTTGAGCTATCATGACTTTGATCCACTCGGGCACCAACTTCCCATCTCAACCGCACCTTTTGAATTTTCCCTCCTTTTTGCCATTTTTCAAATGTCGTGTAATCTATTTGATTCTTGGCGACAGAATTTTTTTATCTCAAATAAAAACCTTAATTAATTGAAAGATATTAATTGGTCAAGCGGACCACGAAAATTAGTGAATTGAGAATATGTTAATTTTTGCACTTTTTACAAAAATTTCAAATCGAGCTGCGGAGCCAGGAAATCATCCTGGACCGGCGCTCATTAAGAATCGATAGGAAATTTTATAAAGCTTTCAATTTGTCACTTTCCACTTTGCCCGATTTCTCAACCGTTTTCGAGTCATTCGCGATTTTTGGGCAAAAAACTTGCTCATGGAAACAACCGATCACTCTCTCCCGATTTTACTGTACATAAACCTATTGTTTCAATACGTTATTCGAAGCCAAATGGCTAACAAACACCTGCGAAATGGAAAGGAAAATTTGAATTTCTGTGATGAGGTAAACATTTAATATACTTAAATGTTTAAATTTTAAAAAGCCATCATGTTGTGTAAAATTTTCTAAAAAATGACACTTAGCGCAGGTCTGTAACTTAAAGGGCTTAGAAAATATACATTTCCAAAGTCCATTTTTTCGTGCAAAACCCAGGTGTTCGGGTTTTTTTTCGGAGCTATAGAAACTCATTTTGTAGCATTTTTGAACAATTAATTTTAAATTGTTTTCAAGGGATAATAGATGAAGTGAACTTAAGTCAGATTGAAGCAGTCGGCAATCCTCATTAGATTTAATCGTTCTTAATATTTTTATAGGCAGAATGGAAAGAATGGAATACAGAATAACAGAAGGAAGATGGTTAATACATTTTGTTTCAATTAATTAAAGTTTTGGTTGAGATAAAAAAGTCAGTGTCACAAACGGGATTCGAACCCACGACCTTCAGCTAAATACGCCACTGCTCTACCATTTGAGCTATCGTGACTTCGATCCACTCGGACACCAACTTCCCATCTCGACCCACCTTTCGAATTTTCCCTCCTTTTTGCCATTTTTCAAATGTCGTGTAATCTATTTGATTCTCCACGACGAATGAAATGGCCATGGAGAGCTTTAGTGAAGTATACTTCATTTTGCCTATTAGGTTTCATGGTCCGCTTGACCAAATAAATTCTTTTCAATTAATTAAGGCTTTGGTTGAGATTAAAAGTCAGGGTCACAAGCGGGATTCAAATTGAAAAATGGCAAAAAGGAGGGAAAATTCAAAAGCTGGGGTTGAGATGGGAAGTTAGTGTCCGAGTGGATCGAAGTCACGAGGTCGGGACCTAATTCAGGGTCGCTGAGATCCAATTCCGCCCCAAACCTTCCATTGATGAGTACTGTGTCAACCTTGTGGCCACTGCTCCCATGTATGTAAGAAAAAAAAGGTCCAGGGGCGACAGTGATTAATGAAAGCATGACTAGTCGAGAGATGAGCCTTAAACACTCAGCTACTGCAGCCCCCACTGTATTCGATTAGTGAATAGTTATTTTCTCATTATATTTTCAATTTCTTGTTATAATTAAAGGCAAATGTAATTGGGTCAACATACCTGGTAATGCGGGCTTAATATGCACACATATCCGGCGTTGATGAGAGAAAGTACGCTTTCCATCGATGTACCATACAAATTACCTTTGTATTCGCCGTACTCGATAAACTTGCCGGCTTCGACATCCTCCTCCATTGTTTCGCGACTTACAAAGTAGTAATCTTTGCCGTCTACTTCACCGGGTCTCATCGTTCTTGAAGTGACTGTAATATTTGTCATATTTGATCAATTTCCTTTTTTTTCTTTTTTTTTTAACGCAAATTCATACATGGAATGGGTGAACGGTATTTATTAGGATCGGTGGCGATGAGCCTGCGCTTAAGCTCGTTCCTGCCAACACCAGGAGGGCCGACTAGAGCGAGGGGCCGGTAGAGGCCCGGTCTGGGGTAGAGTTTCGCCACTTCTTCATACGTTGCCAACTCCTCCCGAGCGAAGTCATCAGCTTCTGCTGTGTCATACAGAATCTTTTTAATTTTAGGTGCGGCACATTGGGAGGGGGAACACGGGGAAAGGAGCCTTGATTCTGGGACAGCAGCATAACACTTGACTTTAGCGCAAGAACCTGGCAACAACTCTGCAAAACCAGAAAAGACAATATTAGCTCAACCTAATCCCCTCGGATTCTCCCTTCGGGAATGATGATACTACTTACAGAAACAGAGGGCCTACAATACAATTAAAATCCTTCTTAGTCATTAACATGCACAAGAAGATTCAGGCCTGAAACAGTCACATGCACTTTGAGGAAAGTATTCGGTGTTTTGACATGCGCCAACACCAGAATCAGATAGATTGGGATTGCTTCCACTTTGAGAATGGTGGACTACAGCACAACTCCGCAATCCAAATTAACAAAAGCAAGACACTTTTACAACCTAAATTGTGTAGATACATGCTTTAAGCTTAAGACTTGTTTAGTGCACATTTAGTGCAACAACGTTAAACCATCTTCGTCCAAAAGTATTATCTCTTTTATTTAAAAATGGACACAGTAAAACAAACGAGAATAAACCTAGACAATTTCCTTCTTTTTAATAGTAATATAAGTGACTCTCTCATCTAGCTTAAGATGAAATTCATGTCAATATTCTTGCTGAACTCTACTGACAACATACAAATTCAGACCAGTTTAATCAGATCATAGGAAAATATTAATTTTGCTAGTTTAAGCTGAATGCTTTGTGCGTAACATCATTGTCAAGCCGTACAGGACCTAAAAGATCAACAAAGAAGAAGAAGAGGAGGGCAGTCCTATGCTGAACACAGTCCTAGGCTGAACAGAGTCCTACAACGAACACAGTATCAAAAAACTTCTCTCAAAAAATAAAAACACGGATTTATCGACGGTGAGCGATAAAGAAAAATACCTATTCACAAGAAGGAATCTTTTTTTGTTCGTTAATTAGATAAAAAAATTAAATTTTAATTTATAATTATTTCTGGATGGCGAAAGAATTAATGTTTATTTTTTTAATTATATTTTTATTGTAAAAAGGAAATTTTTTTTGGTTAGTTTTAAAGTTACAAAACAAACAACTTACAAGCTGTTTATTTTTGTTAGCTTTTACTGAAATTTGATCATAAATGTAATTGTTAACATCATGTCAATTTTATTCTATATACTTACTCAAAACTCTTAGTTTACAAATTCAAGAATTTTAACAACCAACTTACAGCTTTAAAAATCGATATCTCGAATATTGAGTAGACTATTTGTAGAAGTAGAAAAGGCAGATAAGACAATAAACACTGAGTAATCAGAGCATAGCCTAAAGAAAGAATTTTCATAAACAACCCAAAAGAAGAGAATATACAACCATTTGTGCAACTAAATGATATAATATCTTGTAAGAAAGGTAATATTTTTAATTGAACATTATTTTTCATTATACTATTTATTTTTATTTTTAACTCAGGTAATTCTTTTTTTTTTTAATTACATCAATGCTGCCATATTTGGGTAGTTTTTAAATTTTATTTAACACTCGCACTGTTTTTTTGTTTTTTTTTAATATTTATTTATTTGGTATGTACATAGGTAACGTAAATAATAATATTCATGTGTACTCTAATATTTTATCTACATTATTTAATAGACAAAAAGAGATTAGGGTGCGAGTAGTCTTCTGATGCCTCTGATATGTGAATGTTTGTTACCACTTCTTACCCGTGCGTTGTCAGATCCCGTCCTTTCAAGTACCTTGCTGTCTCTAGATGTCACGTTGACCCCCCCCCATGTTTCTCTGACATTGCGGAGAGTAATAAGCACCGTTTGTTTTCTTAGGCTCGTTGTGCTCCATTTTGTTATATTTTGATTTGATGATTATTATTTTTTTATTGCTTAAAATATAATACTGCCTTACTTTTAGCCAATACATTTAATAAAGTGCTTTACAATATATATCTTGTCATTTTTTTAGTTAGTTTTGGACTTATGCTGTGCCGTTTCAAAAGTTTATTACTTTCTGTTCCATTTCTTAAAATAAATATAAATGATTTTCTAATGAATAAGCATATTTTTTTGCACAATATTTCGATTCTATTTAGTATGTATCCTTATAAAGATAAGTGATTAATTTTGGGCTGTTAAAAATAATATTGGTAGCTAAAATTGGCCATTTTCAAACCAGCCCTCAAACTGAGGTGTCCCAGAGTTGCTCCTAACAGAGGGTTAAACACTTACTATACTTGAAAAAGACCAACAAAAAAAATTTGTACTTTACAAAAATACAATATAGGCTGTGGTTAGCAGGCCTATATAAACCCAGGCATCTTTTTATCTACAAAATAAGTAATAACAATACATTTCTTTAAATTTTCAAATAAAATTACTTTCAAGAAAGAACTAATAGAGGAATTCACTAGAAGGTAGATTTTAAAAAAATAGATGACACTAAAAAAAAAAAAATCATTTCTGAGTCTTAAAAGATAGGGAACGGCAGGGCGAGTGTTAAATAAAATCAAATTTACATTTAATACCTGATAAACCATCATTAATATTAATAAAAGAACACAATAATTAGAACCATGGATTTATAAAATTTTATGATGTAAAAATGAGGCGAGGAATAAAAAAAGATGTCAAGAATCAATGTACAATGTAAAGAATGATAACGAAGGGTGAAATGTGCTGATCATTCTATTTTATAGATTTTTTTTCTTCGAAGCTTTAAAGTAAAAGCATTATTAACAAATGCTTGTTAAGTATGTAATGATTGTGCTGATGAAAATATAAATAAATGTTTGAGCATGCATGGATTGAAATGACTGAGTGATAAGCTTGTAAAAAAAATTACCGTCATTCTCCAATTTTTCTTCCGTTTGTCTTTCGTGTATGATTCTCCTTTCTTGAAGAGCCCGGCTGGGAATCAAACCCGCTCGCATATTCCGATCTCCTTCTTTCCTTGCCTGCCACCTGTTTAAGCATCGAATTAAATTGATATTTCAAGCTTTTTTATTTTATTTATTTTTTTTTTTACAAACCAGTAGCCGTCGTCCTGGCTCACTATGTGCAGAATATCGCCTTTCAGAAAATCGAGCCCTGCCTCTTTGCAAGGTATGAACGGATCGGAAGACGCTATGTAGTCAAAATGCGCCCTGACTCTCACCTTGCTTTCTCTACAGCCGCCTCTGCCATCTGCCGGGACCAGTTTGAATGTTATCGTTCCCTCCGAGGCTTGCTGTACAATTTTTATTATTTAAAAAAAAAGTTTTATTTGCTACAAAATTAGTGATGTTACCAGTATGGCAAGGACGTCATTTGGCGTCTTCCCTTCGACGTTGATGTTATTGACTTCTACTACTTCATCACCGACATGAATAAGGCCAGATCTGTCTGCAGCACCACCATGCATTACACGCGCAATAACAATTTTCCCTGTTTCCTCATCACTTTTAATTGTAGCACCCTAAAATAATGAGTACGTCTTAATGTAAATGTAAAATAAAACTACTCTAAATCTGTAACCTCTTGTTACAATAGCTTCATGTAAAAGCCTAAGCAAATTGTTATTCCAAATGAATTGGTTCATGAAATAAAATTTAATTTAAATGCCTGAAGCTTGATTAATACTGTATTTTTTTTTTAAATTTATCTTTTCAAGAAACCACTTTCTTTTTTGTCTATAAAACAACAGTTTGAATTTATTACAGCAATTTGGAACCAGATGGGCAAGCAATAAAACATGTTGTCAATAATATTCATCACTCAAGTGAAACCAGGCCAAAGCCAGCAGATAAATCAATAACAGTTTTGGGAACTGATGTTGCCTCTCTATCCTAATTGATGAGATTTCACAATCTTTCTCAATATAAAAAATGATACATGAAATGCTAAAGCGACAAAAATTATAACAATTTTATGTTGAAAATGTTTTATTTACTTAATGAGAATCAAAGAGACAGTTCATTAACTAAAATAATATGTTTAAATTAATCTGCCTTCGAACAAAAAACTTTAAAACTTTTTCATTTAATTAAACTTAATCTGTATAAAGAAAAAGTGACGTTATTATACACCATCAAGTAACTTGATTAAGCAAGAATGTGTTTGGACCGACGACTTACGAATGTGAACGAGTCATTCCAATACATTGTTCACATCTTTGCTTAACTGTATAAATTCCTGAAGTTAACAATAAAATCAATACCGTACGCTTTAAAAAAAATATATATATATACATCATGACTCAACATATCACACTGCTGACCCATCATATATAAAAAGTTTTCAGAATATGAATTTTTAATATATCATAGTTTTATTTATGAAAAAAGATGCGTGTAACATAATATGTAAGTTACAAATAAAGATTTGACCTGTGATGATGCCTTAACAAGACGACAGTTTAAGAGGTCACTTTTTGGCCAGATCATTTTCTATTGGCTATTATCGTTCACCAACTTTGCATTACACTTTGAAGCAGTTTTTATATTTAGTGTGAAACCATCTTTTAAACGTGCACCGTTCCTGGATAGCGAGCAAGGATAGCCCCTTTGTCAAATGAAAATTTTTGATTTTTTTCTCTCACTCTTTTGCTTTTTTTTACAGTAAAATTTGATTATTTCGTCTTTATATAGAAGTACAGAATTGTTGGATGCACTGTTAAAATTATTTTAGCTGAAGAACATGGTAAAAAGTAAGGACGATCATCTACCGACCAAGTTGCTGGGGGCGGAAAAATTGGACTGTCTTCAGTGCTTCCAAGAACATCATCCAACATGAATCATTTTTTGTACTTTTTTTATGTAAATAATTTTTAATAAGTAAATCATTTTTTATGTAAATAGTGTAGTTTGTAAATAATTCGCATAATTTAGTTTATAAACGATTATCAATCAAGGTTTGTAAATGATGATCAATTTTATTGTAATTTGTGTGATGATTAGTGACCGTTAATCAATATTTGTTTAGAAATCGTGAGATGCGGTCTGGTGTGATGTAGGTTTCAGAAAAACATTTTCTTTATCGTTCGAACGTTTCGATCTTTATTGAGCCTTATACAAAAATGTCTTTTCTATACCGACATCCTTCCCCACCCCTTCAAAATCCAACGTATATAAACACAAAACAGCAAAATCTCACTGGTACTCTCGACACGACACACAAGAATGGCACAATTACACAGAACAAACACTTTGAGTGAGTAGAAATACTTTGATTGAATATATAAAAAATATATTTTGCATTGTATAAATCCACTTTTCCACATCCAAAATGTAATTGTTATATGTAAATAATGTTTGTAAATCCCAGGCCCTGAAGATGATCTCAATAAAGATCGAAACGTTGGCATGATAAAGAAAATGTTTTTCTGAAACCTACATCACACCAGACCACATCTCACATTTTCTAAATAAATATTATTGTAATTAGTAGTTTCAATTAATTAACCTTTTATGTAAGGTAATTACTAGTATTTTTTATGAAAATGTTTCAAATATATTTATTGATTTTTTTTAATGATGGTTTGCAACAGCAAGGGTCATATCAACCCTCAAGGCGTTAGTATTTTTGAAAGAAGCTCATTTATATGTCAGGTTCCAATGGCTGGATTCAAGCCGAGGACCTTTACTTTTGAGTATTGAGTGCCAGGTCAACACCTAAACTGTTGCGGCCACCGACACCCCATTATTATTATTAATTTTTAAGGGCGTTTTAACGGCTACGGTCATTTCACGTCCTAATATTTAAACCATCTATCTTAGATAGCTATGACTCCAAACATTCACTCATAAACTAATCAATCCTATTGCCATCCAAAGGTTCAATTTATCTTTAAAAATACTTAATTTGGAAAGCCAAATGTACACAAAAAAAATTAAATTATAAAATTTATTCCTGTTCTTTAAGTAGAATTTCGAATTTCTGTTCCATAATTTAAACATTTCCAATAGGCATGGGTGGCCAAGACAGTGGAGTCAGACTGGCAACAGTCTGAGCATGAGTATAGGGCTCTCATCATTATCCTTTTATTCTTCCATTATTATTTTATTATTTATTTATTTTTTTAATGAAATTTCAACCTTACTACTACAAATAATAGTAAAAAAAAACAAATTGTCCGTTATAAAAGAAAAATTAGAAAAGCAAAATATAACAAATTAAAAAAAAAAAAAAACATTTTTTATGAAAATTGGAAAGTAGGTGCTGTGCGGTTTGAAAAACTTGGGCGTTGCTGAAGCAAGATAAAATTTGAAAAATATTTTCCCTTGTTTTCTAATTATTATTATTAAGGACATTAATGAACAAAATAATTTTTAAAAATTTTCACCCCAAAGAAAACAACGTTTCAAGTTCCGCATTCAGTGGTTATAATATTGTTTAAAACAGTCCCATCAATAATATTGCAGAATGAAAAAAAAAAATTGGCAAGGATAATTAAAACCAAAAATTATTATACTTATTACAATTTTATCAGAAGAAATTTTTAAATATTTTAAAACCTTAATTGGTACACCCTTTTTGTGCATCCGAAAATAAATTGTTAAAACACTGAACGACATTTTATATTATAACTTACCACGATCGGCTCAGCGCTCTGCGCACCAAAGAATTGTAAGCAATACAAAAAAGTTCATTGTTAGATCTGCCTTTATTTCAATATTGGAAACAACGAAACACCTGCTAAACAGAGGGCTTGGGATACAATCGGACACCAATTGGGATTCTCTGATTTTACAACTAGGATCTTAATCGAATTAAAGTCCAATAATATCTTTTATTTTATAAAATTCTCTAAATTAAAATTTATCTCTTATTAAACAAGAAGTATTGTTTAATAAATTGGTATTTTGATTTGATGCTAAATCCTATTATACCAATTATAATAATTATTTATAAAAATAATTCATGCAAAATTTTGATTTTTTTTTTATATAAAACCAATTGGGTAAGGAAGTGTGTATTTTATAAGCTAGTCTGTATTTGATGAACTCCCTTGTGCTTGAACTTCTAAATAAAGGTCACATGCAAGAGTGGTTGACTAGGTGGCTCAATCACTACTGATATATGGCATAATGGTGTGACGGTAAACTAACTCATGACTTACCACAATTGGCTCAGTGCTCTGCGCCCCACTCTAATGTAAGCAATGCAGAGAAAATTATTAATGTTAACTCTAATCCTTTTTTTTACAATTTTTTCTACTGTTTCTAGACTAAACGGTGCTTCTTCTTTTCTTTTTTCTTTACTTTTTCTAGTCATGCAATCTGATCTCAATGAAATATACAATATATGAGATACAAAATATCTTTTAAATTTTTTTTTTATCTTTTGAAAATTGAATTTTTTTGTAACCCTTTATAAATGGTTAAAAAAATTAAGTAATTCTCACCAATGGTTCATTGCTTTTAACGAGTTGTACAATTTTGATTGTCTCCTCATCATCTTCGACATCTGGGGGGATTTCTGGAAGGCGGGGATAGTAATCTTTTTGTGCTACCGCATCGTGGGCGCACATTAAACCCTGTCAAAGGCAAAAATTATTAATCGATAAAACAACCCGGACAGCCCAATTTTGTTATTTTACACTAAAGTACCTGTAAATGGGGTTTTTGCAGAAGTGTGAACAGCTCTTTGCAAGTTTTGCTCTTCTCTGTCAGGGGTAAAAGCAGTTCGACGACCTCGATAGCGACCTGCATACAGCTGGAAAGGACCGGATTCAACTTGTCGTCCCGGCCGTTTTCCACAATTTTATTGTGGACTTTAACCAGAGCGTGGAGCTCTTTGGACTGCAGCAACTCGCTCAGAAATCCAAACTCTTCCTCCGAACTTGGCAAATGGCGGCGAGATTCTTCCAACGAGGCCAACAAGCCTGACAGAGCTACAAAATAAATTTACAATAATAAATTATTAATATGCCAATATTTACCTATTGAGTTTTATATATTAAACAATTTCCAAAAACAAATTCAATGAATTTGAAATCTTAAGTTTTCTAAAGCAAATTCAAGCTGTAATTGTTATTTAATGAAAACATTAGCATACAGTACAAACAAAATCTACAAAACTGATCAAATTTATTGGGAGAAAAAAGCCTCTAAAACTTCTATTAAAAATAAAAGGTTTTTATTTCTAAAATAAGGTAATAAAACCAACTGAATTGTTCTTATGTTTTTTTGAAATCATAAGGCAATAAAAGAGCAATAATAATAATAAATAATTAAATATTATGCAGCAAAAATACATTTGGTGATGGAGATACTGTTCTATCATCTATCTACAAGTTGAAAAACAAACCAAATGTGTTTATGAGATAGCCAATAATTGCTAAATGTGAAATCAATGAGTTACCAAATTTACTTTTAAGGAGGACTACAACTTGACGATGGCACATCATGGTTGCGTTTCATCAGTTCAGTTTGAATGAATCAGCCACTGAACATTTTAATGATTACATGACAGATCAGGTATAATTCACCCAGAACAACAAAAATATAATGCTTGTAATAGTTTAAAATAATCAAAATGGTAATAAATTTTCTAAACATAAGAGAATAAAAATGACTGGGCTTTTATCACGACAGCTGAAAATTAACAAGCTTTTTGTATCCAATTATGTATGTTGTTTGGCTTCAAAAGCCAGAACAATTATCCTCACAGTGAAAAAAAAAATCTCTAATATTAACATTCAAATTAATTAAGGTTTTTAGTCAAGAGAATTGGTCAAGCGGACCATGAAAACTAGTGAATCTAATATTAACATTAAATTAATAACAAAAAAAACCATAAAACAGTATGTCCAAGGTTGTTTTGAATTTCTTTTGACGACAGAGCATCAGAGTATTGATCCAAAAACCATGGATTTGAGCCCACCCATGGGACACAAATAAAGTTAAATAATTAAATAGTAACCAATAAAAATTACACCACCTGATATCTTTTTCCACTGTATGTTTGTTGTGTTTGCAATGGATAAATCCAAAATAAAAACAAAGATCACAAATGGATGGGGCATCAGACATCCTAGCCCAAAAATGGAGCCTCAGCCCAAATCCTCTGTCTCTAGGTATATAGACAGATTAAAAATAAACTATAATATTGTAAAATTGAAATCAACCTAACAGGAAAAACGAGAAAATCCTAACAGAAATTAATTAAACAACAGGGCATGCTACAATAAAAACCACCTTTAAAAAATGGGACAGATGATCAATGTTCAGCACGACCTGATTTTTCAATTTTCATCCTGTCGTACAGCGAACATTTCCTATAACATGCAGGTCACCTGCAACGAACTTGTTATGTCTGGAGAGAAAAACTTAATAAAATATTTTACTGCTCTGCAATAGCTAGATGACAATTCTTGAGCAATGTCTGTGCTTTTTTTAATGGATACCGGGAACTGGAGGAGTTCCCTGTGAGCACTGCAGCTGTAGTATTCAGTTTATTGTACTTCCTTCCTGGCTCCATTTTCGGGAGCTCGCATCAGGCGTGTGAATTTGAGCCCCAGGTATGGTAACGTTCTTCCGTCGAAGAAACACATTTGTGAACAAGGTTGGGACCAAATTCCGCGTTGCTGAGATCCCCAGACCTTCCATTGTGTCAATTTTTTTCAATTGCGATCACAAGTCCCCTTAGGCGCCAGAAAAAAGTCCGGGAGCAATGGTGGGAATTGATCTGACGCCTTAACCATTCGGCTACCGCGATCCCCCATGTCTATGCCATACTCCTGAGATAATTCTATACTTAATTAAAGAAATTAAGATCTTCCAGGAAAATCATTAGCAGAGTTTGGACACAATAGACGCAAGGCAAAAGGAAGAAACTTTATGATTCCAAACAGAAAAAAATGTAGATTCTTATTCATGGAAGGAAAAGGCAAGGAAGACCTTTACAAACTTGGAATCTGATAAGCCTTAGGCTTAATGAAAATCTCTAAATAATAATAGTGATTGTACAATAGACCAATATTGGCAAAGAACCTTAACCTGACCACAAAATATTTTTTGTAATTTGACCTATTCTAAGGGGTTTGGTCAGTCAGAAGTGGTTTGTGCTTTTCACTTTCAATTCTGGGTCTGTGGTGAAAAAATTATACGAAATGACTGGAGGTCTACATTGCTTGAGAATGGCTTTCCTAGTTACATAACCTTATGTGCTCTGTTCTATCTTCTCTAGACTTAATTGACTTAGTCATTTATTAATAGTCCCATTTTTTTAAATGGTATTTTGCTGTAGCATATTTGTCACAAAAGGGATTTGGGCCTGTTGTTCCAAGGTTTCCTTTTTAGGATTTGCAGGCAGTAGTCTATTTGCAGATCCCAGTTTTTTACGGTATTTAGGAAGTTCCAGATAAGCTTTAATTTAATCTCGTAGGCTTGGAGAACCTTTAAAACTGCCTAGATATCTGATAACATTATAATTGTTGTACCCTTGAGATGTTGTGATTTATTTCATGTACATGTTTCTTGAAAGATGTGTGGTGAGGACAAAAATACGTGGTGCTCATAGCTTCAAGACCTTTTATGCCCTACCTTTACCATTTCCCGTCTTTCAGTCATCTGTATGTCATAGAAAAGCTCAGAAAAGGTTTTTTTTTTTATCTGTACATTTAGCTCTTTTTTCAATAATAATGTTGAATGGTTTATCAAAATTTAGAATTTTCTCTAAAAGGTAAGAATAGTGTTAACCAAGAAAGTTATTTTAATTTTAAAAATTTTGAAAATTGAACCCAACACTCACTGTGAGTACACCTGTACACATCACCTTAGAACCCACACTCATTCATTCACCATCTTATTTTTTCTCAATCACACTTGTACTCATTGACTTGATACTTGAGTACCCAAGCTCACTCATTCACCCTCTTAATTACCCACACATTTATTCAATATCACTTTAGAACCCACTTAAGTAATCATTCCATCACCAGCATTCATTCACATACTCCCTTTAGAACCAAAACTAACTCATTCACTTATTCCCACCTTCCCTCTCCTCTACTCATTGACTTTTCAAGTACACACGCTCGCTCATTCACCCTTTTAGTTATCATTCCCTCACCTCTACCCTTTCACTATTTTATTTTTGATCTCATTCTCTCACCTGTAGTAATTAACTTGCTCACTTCAATACCCAAACTCACTCATTCACCCTCTTAATTATGCCCACATTTTTTCACTTTTACTCATTCACTTTCTCATTGCAACTCCACTCACTCATTCACACTGTTATTTATGCATCCGTTCCCTCAGTAATATTCATTGGCTTACTCACTCGAGTACTCACACTCATTGATTCATTCACTTACTTATGCACTCATTCTTTCACTTCTACCTATTCACCCCTTTAATTATTTATTCACACGTTGACATACTCCCTATAGAACCAACCCTAACTACTTCATCCCATTTACTTATGCAAATATTCCCTCTCCTCTACTCGTTGACTTACTCACTTGACTACCCAAACTCACTCATTCCTTCCCTTTACCCATTCACTCTTTTATTTATGTACTCGCTAATTTGCATATTCACTCGGTACTCACACTAATTCATTAACCCCCTTCACTTATGCAAACATTCCCTCTCCTCTATTCATTGACTTACACACTTGTGTATCCTCTCACTCATTCCCTCGCTTAATTGCGCATACATTTTTTCTATTTGTCTTTATTCACTTTCTCACTCTGGATATTTCACTCTATCATTCACACTCTTACTTATGCGCTTATTCCTTCCCTTCTACCCATTCCCAATCTAAAAGTACTCATTCATTCACATACTCCCTTTAAAACCAACACTAACTCATTCATCCACTTATGCACTCATTCCCTCTCCTGTACTAATCGACTTACTCGAGTACCAACACTCAACGATAATACAATTTATTGTATTTTGTAGTATGATAATCTTTCATTGATAATATTAGTGATAAAGGAAAAAAGCGCCAAAACATTCAGCTTGAGGTTTTATTTCTTTGTCTTTCTTTTATCGTAGGAGGTTATTTTGGATTTTTTTAATTATTTATTTTAATTTAAAAAAAGAAAAGTGTAGTTTGTAATAATGGATGTTTGTAAGACGAATGTTCCGTCGCGGCGGGATGTACAGAAGCAGGTGCGAAGTGGGCAACGGTAAATGGAGCCTTAATTAAATATAAATTTGTCCGTGTGAAAATAGAGTGATTTAAAAAAATTCTTTTGAGTACTCACAAGGATCCCAATTCCCATTGGCCATGACTGCTGTCATTATCGGTTTCCTATAGCTCTGAACACCTAATAATAAAAAGTTTATTATTGCAGGGCCGTGGTAAGTCTTATAAATAAAACATTGGAGGCCACAGGGTGAAGAGTCGGCAAAAGGGGGCTTCAGACGGCGGCCGAGACTAAAAATACGTACCGCGCACAGACCCGACCCGGATCGGCCTTTCCTGTTATACCATCTCACGCGTCGTCAGCCTCCTTTTCGGCCGAGGGGCGGCATTCGTCCGGCCGGCACTAAAAGCGGTCGCAACGCTTTCTCACGGGCCGCATCCCACGGCGGCCGGAAAAGGAAGAAATCAGAGGGACACCGGACACGGTGACGGTTCGCCAGGAGGACGACGACACTCACACTCGACACTCGACAGCCGACACTGACAGCGTATTCCCGATTCCGACCTCGGCCCACTCGGAACAAACGCCTTTTCGATTTACTATCAACCACCGCCGACTCGATTACGCTCGAGATAACGGCTCGACGACGCCCACTCCCGGCCGCGAGACAGGCGACCGCGCCTACTTCAATACCGTTTATGACAAACCGACAAGTTTCGACACAAAGATTATCGGAAAACAAACAAAACTTTTTTCTCTCTCCTAATATTTGTTCTTTACAGCGAACTCATTCATTTATTGACATTATTTGATACATGCTCAATCATTCACATTCACGCCTACTCATTCACACTCATCAATCACTCTCGTGCAAACACCTGCGCACTTGATCAATCTTCAATTCACTCTCTCTTTCATCGCGATCTCTCAAACGTACTTGCTCATTCTTTCAGCATACTTTCCCCTTTCACTATCAATTCATTAGTTCAATACATCACTTACTAATTACCTGCTCACTCACAGACTTATTCATTCTTTCATTATGTACCCAAACATTCACATATTCCCTATAGAACCAATACTAACTCATTCACCCTGTCTTGTACAATATTCCATCTCCTTATTCATTGACTTACTCACTTGAGTACTACACTCAACGATAAAACATTTTATTGCCTTGTTCATTCACACAGTTTTTTACTAGAGAACCCGTACACATTAATTTAATCATGCATTCAACCTCTTACACACATTCCCTCACCTGTATCTGTTGACTCAATAACTTGAGGACTCACACTCACTCATTCACCCTCTTATGTACCCATGCACATACTCATACATAGAAGCCATACTAATTCATTAACCATTTTACTTATGCATTCATTCACTAAACTATACTCATTCACTTACTCTAGAAACCACATTCAATCATTCGCTCTCTTACTTATGCACTCATTCAGTAAACTAATTCACCCTTCATTCACGTGTATTCATTCACTTATTCACTCCAGAACTTACGAATTTTACTTACTCACTCATTCACTTTTTTACTTATTCACTCATACTCTGACCTGAAATTGTTCAATATTAACATTAGAATCTACATTCACTCATTCACTCTTCTACTTAATTACTCATTTCCTCACCAATGCTCATTCACTTATTAACTCTAGAACTCGCACAAATTCACCCTCTAACTTACTCACTCGAGTACTCGTTCTCACTCATTCACCCTTTTACTTATGCATTCATTCATTAAACTATACTCATTCACTTACTCATTCTAGAACCAATCAACTTTGTTGGCAATTTTATTACTTAATCTATAAAGTTTTGAAGTGCGAATGATAAAACTAGTTGAAGAATTGGGGAAGATTGAGTTCAAAACAGTATGGCCGTATGATCGAGCATGTCGTGTAGTTGAGAAGTGTGTGAAAATATGGTTTGATGTGTAGTCCATCAATGCGCAGTTGAATGTATTTGTAAGTGTTGCTGTATAAAGTCAGTGAGGAGTTCAAAGAAATTTTGCTTTTGTTGTTGCATTTGCTTGATTTGTTCAACATAAATGTTTATGAATAGATTTAGGAGAAGTATTTAAAACCGCGACAAATCTAAATGGATTCCTTCATTCTCAACCCCTATTGTTGGCAAGATATATTACATTAGTTAGAACTTAGTGCACAATATGTTGCTATTAAAAATTAACATTTACATTATTGTTTAAAATATTGGTACAATGTCTAGGTCGTGGTTCTTCATCTCAAACCCTGCAGTTGACATAATGTATTACTTTTGTTAAACATAATAAGCAAGAACAATTTTTGATATTAACAGTAACCATTTATATTAGCGTTGTTTAAATTATTGATAAAAATTTCCTGGATTATTAAATTAAGCATTGCAAGTTTTTTTTGGAAATATTCAAATGATAACACCAGAAGAGGGAAAAGATAATAACCTTCCATCGAGTGAACCTGTATGATGTACTGTCAAATGTCAAGTTTGGGCATGTGAAGGAGATAACTTATCCAGCCCCTAGTCAAATGTGACACTTTTCTGACCATAAGAAGAAATCCATTTTTTAATTTTTTTTAGAAAAATGGTCAGGAAAATAGTCCTAAGACCTGTCATAAGCACACTCCAGCGAATGGCAGTGTTTGACGTTAAAGATGTGAGTAAAAATTTGCCTTACGTTGTTCAAATAATTTGCTATGATATCGTTTCTCTCACAGAAACTAACTATTGTCGGTTCGAACAATAACGAGACCCTCTTCAGAATCCTGCACATCAACCGCATGGTGCCTAAAGACTTGGAAATCATCGATGATGGCGTCGAGTACACGAGGGATGAGATAGACACATTCCTCAGGGGTATTGGAAGGTCCAATGTGAAAAAAGTCTCTGCTTTTGGAATTGTCGGTAAGTACTTAAATTATAAGGCTTAATTTACGCTTCTAATATATTTTGGTTGAAAACTTAATCATATAATAATTTTAACTTAATTATTTACCAATTTTTGTTCACTTCATTCCTTGAAATTAGTCAACCATTATCAATATTGTTACATTATGGGCAACCATGTTTAAACAGTGGCTCAAATTTGTTAATTAAATTTAAAAGGCATTAATCAGTTTTTGTGACTTTGCTCACTGAAAACTGCCGCTTATTCAAAACATTTTTTTCAAATCGAGTTTATACCCCAAGATTCAGCATGCATGCACATACATACATTCTTTAATAAACTAGAGAAGTTTTACAGCTTTTTCTACATTATTGCAATTGTTCAACTCATACAAATTTCCGCTAATCCAAACAGCCTTTGATCAGAGATATTTTGCTGTACCACTATATTCAATGCCTTTTTTGGTTTGTTTTCTTTTATTGGCATCTTTGACATATTAAGTCTGAGTTTTTTCATCCTATGGACATATAAAACAGTTAAGTAAAATAAAACACAAACCCTCAATGAAAAAGGCGAAATGCTGAAACGTGCAAACAAAGCAGCAAGTATCAGGACGATCAGAAATGATCACACAATTGTGATGAAATCAACATTCATTTTTTGTCATCAGATCAACATAACATTTTATTTTTTACAAGTCAAAAATTTAAAAAATTAAAGTGTCAGTAAGCTTTAAGAAAACTTACAAAAAAGCCATTATTATAGTTCTTTCATTATGACTTTAGGATTTGTGAAATTTATGGAAAGCTATTACTTAATACTTGTAACAAAAAGGAGGCGAGTCGCTGCGATCGGTCTGCATTACATATACAAAATTGAAGATACTGAGATGATATACATAGCGAATGAAGCCATCCGTGTCACCCACCGGGATGAAGCCAGATACCTTAAAATGTTCCAAAGCATTGACCTGCGGAGTAATTTTTATTTCAGGTACTTTTTATATATGTTTAATTTATTAGTTAACTATATAAATTTATTGGTCATATAAAGCATTAATTCAACAAACCCGCTTGTGTGCAAGTTCCCATAGATTAAACGTTGTAAACAGTATTCATGACATATTAGGCATTGCTACTGGTGCCTTTATTTTATCCCAGGCCAATAAACAGGAGAGTTGCCCCTAATATTGGGTTGTCCGGAAAATAATGCAGGATTTTGGTATTAAACAAAAAAAAAGAAACTAGTTACTTTAAAGCAATGTTCTTTAATCAAAATAATTTCCCATACNGAGTAATCCTGTAAACGTAAACAGAATATTTTATATAGATTTTTTTTAATGAAAACTTAAAATCCTGCATTATTTTCCGGACAACCCAATACATCATCAGAATCTCATACAATTTAAATATTTTGTCAAAATTGTTTCAATTCAGATCACCTTTATACCCAAATAAACCTCCAGGCAACACCAACATCATCAAAAATTCGGTCAGAAGCACTTTGTGATTTGAGTTTCTTCCATGATTTATGACATCTCAATTCTTCAAAAGTTAAACGTCTCACCTGTTCCACCCTGGCGACTTTCTAACCTTTTCTCTTCATTTAACTCTAAAAGCCGCATTCATAGTAACATAGTAATTAGTAATTATTTGTATTGGCCAAGTTTTTAGGGAAGAACTCTCTTATGCTGAATGAAGATCTGGCAAAACTGGCTTAACAAATGGTGTGAAGTTAACCGCAATAAACTAAGGGAAATTAAACAATGGCCCTCTGTGGTTTGAACATCTGTAGGAAATTGTCTTGGCACGCCTTAGAATGGGACATTGTAGGATTCCTCATGGCAAGGAACCTCCTCTGATTTGCCAAAGCTGTAAGAAACTACTAATAATCAAGCACATCCTGAATGTTTTCAATTTGAGATGGAGAGGAATACATGTGTTTCTGGTAGTCTAGGTGAAATATACATTGCACTAGCAGGTGTCAGGTGCGCTCTTCTGAAGACAAACTCCTCAGGAGAGCTTACTCAGATTATCACTGCTATTACTCCAACTTCACTGCATCTGACTCTTTTGCTCCGACTGACTCAAAGCCTGTGCAACTAACTTCATCTTAACTGGCACTTACCCAAGGGCTACAAATCTTGGATAGTGAGTGTTTGGAGGTCAAGGACACTGTATCCTTGCTGATGAAGCTGTATATGCGAGTTGGGACGGTGTAGATCTCTGTCCTTGCTGACGAGGCTGTGTATGTGACCTCAAATGGTGAGACCTACCTCACGATCCTTGGTTGACGAATCTGTGGATGAGGGCGAAGGCCTCAGGCACTAGCTGGGTAGACTAGAGGTGAGATGCAACAATATTGTCTAATGATAGTCACAGTCAAGAGGTTGAATTTTTATATTTCTTGGGTCTCTTTTCAGGAACTAGACAACCAACAAACTCATTTTCTTTTTATTAATGCCTCCGAAATCGATATCAATAAAAAGAAAATTAGTTTGATTGTTGTCTAGTTCCTGAAAGAAACCCAATAAATATATTTATTCTTCTCTTCTTTCTTCTAGGTTGTTTGCTTGTTTTAAGATCTTTTTAGGTGTTTTTTCAGGAACTTTCAACCAAGAAATATAGGTGAATGGTTGTTTTTTCTTGGTAGTACTCAAATGAGGGTGGTGGTTGTTGTTGTTGGCAGCAGGTGTTGAGGGTGTAGAATTGTTGGGTGATCCTTAGGATACATTCGGGTTGTGTTCAAACCTCTGATACGCCTCGAGTGATGTGGATGGTGAAACAGACTTGCTACCTTGTTTAGGATCATTATTACTATAGTGGTTGCATGCCTTTGTAAACTTATTAAATTAGTATCTATATTTATTATCAGTTAGATTTTAGAGTAATATTATAAAAAATTGTTCAGTTATAGTTATGATATAACACATACTTTACAAGTGAATATGGCTATACCGAGGGCAATAAAAGATGACCTGGAATCTCATAGCAGAAATGAGTGAGTGTTTTATGATTATTTGACTTTAAATAAACTCTCAGCCATGTATTGAATTTCAGATCGAAGAGAAATGAATACTTCGAGTACGAAATTAAAGGGAAACCGAATAGAAAATTCGTCTGGAACAATTATTTACTCTCCCAGGTTGAGGGCCATCTCAACTCGAACTGGATTTTGCCCATAATGCACGGCTTTGTGAGCCAGTCAATAGTCAGCATATTCGGCAGATCCGTCTTTGTGACACTGATCGCAAGGAGGTCGAACAAGTATGCTGGTACTAGGTTTCTTAAAAGAGGAGCAAATTTAGATGTAAGTTTATACATTACCAGGTTGCTCTTTTTATCTTTAGTTAATTTGATTATTCAGGGCGATGTAGCGAATGAGGTCGAAACTGAGCAGATTGTCGAGGATATGGGCGTCAGCAGCTGGAACATATGCCCAAGGATATCGAGCTTTGTACAGATGCGAGGCTCGATACCTGGACATTGGAGTCAGGATATCAAACTTGTACCGAAACCGAGCATATACTACGATCTCACGGATCCTTTTGTGGAAACTCCAGGTTTTTTCTATTTACTTAAATACAAATTTAATTGCAGTTAGTTGAAACTTTTAACATTTAAAACTTACTAGTTGCGTTACGCTCATTTTCACCCACTTTTCCATTCCTCAGCAAAGGCTTGTACATTATTCATTATGTAATTAGTAAAATTAATATGAATTTTAGGAAAGCATTTTAAGATGCTTCATGAGAGATATGGATCTCCTATAGTTGTACTAAATTTGGTAAAACAGAGAGAAAAGAAAAAGCATGAATCCACCTTGAGTGAACAGTTCAGGTCTGATATCTTATATCTCAACCAGTTCTTACCTCCTGAGCATGAAATTCAATATGTTCCTTTTGACATGGCAAGAAAAAATAAAGGGTATTTGTTTCTAAATAGTGTTAAATATTTTTTTTTATTGATTTTCATATATTTTAGGATCAAAGCGAATGTGCTAGGAAGCCTTGAAAAAATTGCAGAAAACGCCATTTCCAAGACAGGGATGTACATTTATAACCCATTAGGGGAGAAGTTTCAAACCGGAATAATAAGGGTAAACTGTGTCGACTGTCTTGACAGAACAAACACAGCTCAGTTTGCATTGGGGAAATACGCCTTGGCATGCCAGGTATTTTGCAGAATAAACATCTTCAGATAAGAATGTAACATCAAATTCACTTCACAGCTAAAAAGTCTGGGTTTTCTTAGTAACGAGGAGTTGAATTTTGACTGTGACTGTACAAGAATGCTTGAGGTTCTTTACGAGGACCATGGTGACACCCTCGCCCTACAATATGGAGGATCTCAGCTCGTACATAGGATCAAAACTTATCGGAAAACAGCACCATGGACATCACAAGGAAACGATATAATGCAAACCCTCAGTAGATACGTCAGCAACACTTTTTCTGGTATTTTACACTCTTTTCTGTATAATAATTACGCTCTGTATTAATCTGACCGTGTTGCTATCAGACGCTGAGAAGCAACATGCGATGAATGTTTTCCTAGGTCTTTTCATCCCTTCGGAAAATTCCACGCCGATATGGGAATTGACCACAGATTATTACCTCCACAATCCATCCACTATGAGAGTAAATATTCGCAAGGAAACCAGGTAGCTTTCAAGCGGTGTTTTCACATTTTCCAGGAAATTTATTGTTTTAAATTTCAGGCTTCCTTTAACTCAATGGTGGGGAGAAGAAGTCCATAGCCTGGCGAAAAATTGTCGAGACCGTGATGTACAATATTTTAGAAAGGTCGACAAGAATAGTAAAGTGGATGCTTACAGTGATTTTCACAGGCCGAACGAGTACATTCCTTTTAGTGATCTCTTTATATTTACGATGACACATACTTTACGGTAGTTTTGTATTTATTTTGTAAAAAGGCCTTTTTACATTTGTTGTTTTTCTGTTGAATTAGGGATTTTGCACCTCAGTATATAACAGATTTCAGCCCATTTACAGTAAGAAGGGGACCAGGGAGAAGACGAGAGGAGACAAAGGGGACGAGGAATCCGTCCCTTTCTGGACACTGTTCGACAAATAGCAATACCAGCAGTGATAGGTGAAGTCAGGTTTACATTACTCAAGACAATTTTTTAACATTGTAATTTGATCCTTACCAAGCGGGGTTCAATAGTATCCCAATGGTCAGCGTGTTAGACTCGGCTCAAAGACAGTTGTGGGTTCAATTCCCACCATTGCCCTGGCCTTTTTTTCATGCTTAAAAAAAAAAATCATCTCGGTCTGCTTATCTTAGCTGAGTTCCCATTTGGTCGGCATTTTGCCATTTTCGGTATATCTTGAGTTGATCAAGATCTTGTAAATTGTGTTGATTTTGGTATAATGTAGTAACAATATTGAATAAAAACAAAAATTGCATTGTAATAAAACGACCCAGCAAGAGTAGGCAGACTAAGATGATCGGAGGTTCATTATTCCGCAAGCCGTTGGATCTCACAGTTTAATTTTTGACTTTGTCAAAACCGCAGCTCCTGTCAAGAAAGCGAAGACGAGGAACCAAAAATCGAATCAAAACAACAGTCTTCGCCAGCGAAACAAAGTTTACAATTGTACGAAGTACCTCCTCCCCCACCACTAGTATCAATTAAAATGCCATCAGCCCAGGATACTCTTCTATATAAAAGGTATTTACGATTTTTTTTCCCTTAACATTGAACTGTTTATTTTTAAGAATAACAAACATAATTAGTACATATGCACAACAGCAAAATTATAGTCCTACATATTTTTACAATAATTATAAATTCTAGTGAACCTGACTTCATAGAATTAATTTAGGCTGTCCAAAATTTGAAATATTGAACAATCAGATTTGCAGTAATAAATTTTATTCAATGAAAACATAACAAAAATCTAATGGAACAAAATTAGAGGCCATATATTTTACAATAATGATTAATTCTCATGAATCAGACTTCATATAGTTAGTTGGGTTGTCTAAAATTCGAAATAACGATAATTTTTTTTTCTTCTCACAATTACCTATTCTGCTCAGGTAGTAGTTTGATCCTGTTCTTCTCCAAATCTTCCACTAACCCTTTCGGATTATATTTTTTAAAAAAAATTATAACCTTTTGCCAGATTGTCCCACTTTTCTATGATGCAATTCTTGAGCCTTTTCTAAGGAGTATTTTGTCAATAATGTTAAGATCTGGCGATCTAGCCGGCCAGAGTAAAACATGAAATATCTTTGTAAGAGCTTTTTCATGGATTTTTCAATCTACAGTAATTTTTTTTTATTTTTTGTTTTAGGTTAACAACTTTTCCACTTTTTTCAGTTTTAGTTTTATTTGTATGGATGTTTTGGGATTTTTCCCATCATCATCTATGTTTTATAAACAAAATCACTTTTACAGGAATTATCTTATTGGTTGCAGACAATAGTTCATTTTTAAGAAGTTTGTAATCTACTTTGTTACAATGTAATTAAAAACTAATCCATAATTTAATGTAATTAATACGTCAATATCTAATATTTAGTTCCCATTGAAAAATAAAAATCCCCAGCATTTATAAAGACAAATATTTACATTTAGAAGTGAAGAATAATAAATTAATTTAAAAAAAATAGTAATGAAAGATTATTAGTCCAGGCTGCACCAAAATATTTTTGTTTTTAAGAAAATTGTTTACTATTCACACTGTGCAGATGGGGGCATTGTCCTGCTGAAAGATCATTCCCACTTGTTCATTTGTTGCTCTTCTATATAATAATAAAATATTCTTTCTGAACAAAATTTCAATTCACAAGAGCAGGCTACAGAGGTGGGTTCATTGATAAACTTTTTTCTTTTTGTGAAACTAGGTCAACAAATATTAGACAGTCCTAGCATTCTTGCCAATGTACCCTGGTAACCAAGAAAAAAATGACCTCATTTAAGAACATTTTTTAATCTGTTTTCTGCCTTTGTTTTGTATCTACTTTAAAGCTATTATGTATCATTTGATTGGTTTTATTATCTAGGATAACAGAAAAATGTACAGGTGTGTATTAAAACAAATTAGGGATATGAAAAGTTACAAAAACAAGACACAGTAAAAGTAAATAAAAAGTACTTCTGAAAAGTCAATTAAGATTCATTTTAAGCACTTTTTAATCTCCTTTAATACACATTTTTATGGAGATAATTTTTTTTTGTCCAGTGTCCTGATAGCTAAAATAATTTGTCATCTACCAGGACCTATTGGCAAGAACACTTAGACACGTGATTACTATTTTTTGACCTAGGATCACAAAAAGTTTTGTTAAAATTGGTGATCCCATGTCTGTAGCCTCCCTTTGTGTTTTTCCATAGTACCCTAACCAAGCCCAAACCACCTCCACCCTTTTGACGTTTGCTAAAAACATTTTATCCTTCTGAGTTAATGAAAATAAAAACAAAATTATTTTTATCTGTTTCTTTCACCACATGGCAACCGGTGAATCGTTTCGTTTTAGTTCTGTGGGTCTTTGAAGAGGTTTTGTCTTCAGTTCCACTCATTATAAATCTTTGTAGAAAGCTAGTTCTCACAGAGGCTGCAGAAAAAGATTGGGAGTAGATTAGCTCTACACTCGGACATTCTTCTTGCGGTCATAACCACTACCCAGTTTAATGAAGTTACTTATAGTTTATTTAAATTATACTTTTTATCTGAGGTCTTAGTTGAGATGAAAAAGCTAGTGTCACGAGCAGGCTAAATACACTGCTGATCTAACCACTTGAACTATGGCGTCTTCAATCTACTCGGACACCAACTCATCTCAACCTACCTTTGAATTTTCCCTCTTTCTGCCATATTTTCAAATGATTGATTTTCTTCTTAACCAAGACCTTCGATAAAAAGTATAATAAATTTAAATAATTAAAATGGTCATTTATGACAACTAAATACATATATGGATTAATTACTTACAGTGTTCTACTGTCCATTCAAAAATTGAATAATTTTTGAAAACAGGATTTTTTTAAAATCTAGGAATGTGTTAATAAGTGCCTTTTCATGCTCTTATAACACTTTCCCACATGGCATTGTAAAAATATAGAAGAAAAAATCTGAAAATAAAGTAAATTTGGAGGTGGCCTATAATTTTATCAGTGTGTTTTAAGTTTAATTAGTTAAAACATGATTTAATAAAAAAATTCAGGGATTTATATAGTTTTTTTTTTGTTTTTTTAGCTATGTTGTGATGCAGAGAAAGGCTACTTACATGAAAGATAATTATTCCCAGTTGGCTAATGTCTTCAACCCCGTGACAAAATTTAATTTTGAATCATCCTTTGAGGCAAGTTAAATATTTATTGCATGTCTCCATTTTCGTTTATTATTAATTTTATTTACGTGTAGGTCTCAGTGCCTAAAGTGAGCACCGAATCGAGAACATTTTATGAGAACTATGTCAATAAATGCTACGACACTTTGGATAAATGCCTGACCTCAAAACAAATCGAGGAATACATAAGGTATACAAAAAACGAATTTATCGGCCTTAAATCAATGTGGGAATATTAATTCTCAACATTTTTGTATAAAGTTAAGAAATGAAAACTTTTAAAATAGCTATATCGTGCAGTTTTGTATAAAGAAAAATTCTACATGTATAAAAATATATTATAATTATGTACAGTATTCACTTCAATATTTGTTTATATAAATTATTCTTAAAATTATTAAATTTCTCTATACTTCCTTTCTTTTAAAATTATTTCTACCACCTCTGCTACTGTGTAAATACTTAAATAAGGTTTTTTAAAAGAATTATATAATGTCCACATCTTCACTCGCATCTCTTGGTACTCGACAAAATGGGCAAAATCCTTTTTCCAACAAAAGTGACTCGTAATCGTCCAAATGGAATATCTATACAAAAATATTGCAAGTTATTTTTTTCATATTTAAACAACGAATGTTTAAAATACTCACCTTGTGACAATAAGGGCAAGTCACTATCGGGACGTTGGGTAATAAGTTGCGGTAAAACCGTACACCCAAAGGTTTAGGACACTTACAAACTATGACTGTGCTGATGTCCATAGATTTCAAAGTCGCTCGGTTGACCACCACCGGCAGCATATCATCAGTCGTAGCCTGAAATGTCAATCCATAATGAAAATTAAACAAAAACAAAAATTTAAATAAAAGCTTACATCATAGCTAATCATGCGAGTGCTAAAAGGATCTTGAATAGGGGAATCGTCGAGCCTCATGCTTTGAACGTTGCCTTCTATGTTTTGAGTCCAGTTTGAGTCTAGTTCTTCTGGAGGGGATTCTAGAAGCCTTATCGCCTCCATTTCGGATATTCCAGGCTCAAGGTGAAACTCGACCAAAGGAAGGACTTCTAAAAGAATAAATACAAATGTGAACATTTCACCTTAACAGTTTTAAATCTACGCTCAAACTACCAAAAGTGACAAATGAGTATACAAAAGGTTGACCACAATTTGTACATGAATTGGGCTTTGTCGCTACCGGCGACAACAAAGGATTGTAACTCGAACAACGGTAGCACATTATTAACAGGTCCTCGTTGTCATGATACGGTTTTCCTTTTACTAACAGCGTCAGGGTATCAACATACTCCTAGAAACAAAATGTTAGTTCTATTTTTTTAAACTCTTTAGGCCAACGATACATGCAGCATTTTTGACCGAAGAAATTTCTGCAGACAGTTTAAAGAGGTAATTTCAGGAGAACAATTTGCAAGCTTTTTCTATTAAATTCTCTTTCCTAGTGTTTTTAAAATAGACTATTTTTAATGCAACCATTTTAATTAATATAAATAAAAAATACAAATTCTAAAAAGCCAACTAGTGGTGGAACTGCTCAAAGAAACACCACCATGTGTCAGGACTGACTATATTGGGTCGGTATAAAATGAATGCAGGTTTTGAAAATTTGTTTTATTTTTCCAGGTGCTTGTCATGTAAACAAAGCTAAATCCTCAAACCTAATTTATGGATTATAATAAATACTTTTAACTGTTATCTTTTATACAAAACATTTCAGTCTATATTGAATGAGTGAGGACCTGCAAAATTTATATGTCCAATCTAGATTTTCATCAAATTTATTTGTACGAATTTAAACTTGGACGGGTAATATCAATAGTTTGGGGGAAGGAAGCATTAGTGAATGCATGATGCAGCGATGGGTTCAAAGATGCCTTCAAGTAGGCCTTCTGTTGTTGGCGGCGACCAACTCAAAATGTTGATTGAAGAAAATTCATGTAAGACAACATGAGTGAATTGCGGAAGAGCTTAGTGTTGACCACTCGTTGATTGCCATCTGGAGCACATTGGTGAAGAAGCTTGACAAGTAGGTACCACATGATCAAACCGAAGCCCAAAAAAAAATTGACGCTTTGAAATTTGCATGTCTCTTTTGTCCTGCCACGAAAATGATCCATTTCTCGATTGAATTATCACATGCGATGTGAAATTGATTCAGTAACAGGAGGCATACAGGTCAGCGGTTGGTTGATGAAGCGTCAAAACAATTTCCCCAAATCTGCACCGAAAAAAAGTTATGGTGATAGTTTGGTGGTGTATTGCTGATGCTGTTCACGATAATTTCCTGAATTGGTGAATCCATCACAGCAGAGAAATAATGCCAAGAAATTAACAACATGTAATGAATGAAATTGCAACATCTTTGTCCAACATTGGTGAACCATAGGGGGCCAATTCTTCTTCACAATAACACCAGCCCACATGTCGCAATATCAACCCTGCAGAAACTTAAGGATTTAAGATGTGAAATCTTACCGCATATTTTACATTCACCCAACTTCTCAGCTACAAACTTCCACTTTTTTATGCATTTTATCTTGAGGGATATTTTTAGAGAACGCTGAAAAGACAAAAACGCTTCCTAGACTTTATTGTGGGTTGAAATAAAGATTTTTATGTTAGCAGAATAAAAGTTCTTACAACAAGTTGGCACAGATTAAAAACAGTTTTGACTGCCTTTTCAAAACCTCCATTATTTTTGCACCAGCCCAATAATACTACTACTGCCTATCAAAACTGACTTGCAGAATAGTCTAGACTCAGTTTCAAAACCAATTGCACCAGTGCCACCACAAATTACCAATGATTCCTGACTCAATTGATCTCTCGATAAATGCTTCGGTCAAAACTGATGCATGTGTCATTACCCTTATTATTAAGATTTACCTGCAAATCTCGTGGTATTCTCAGGGACTGTATTTTTGAGAGGACATGCCTTGCAAGTTTAAAAGCCCCTAATTGCTGTGACAGTTTTGCAATTTGCAAAAAGAGCGAACTATGAATTTATCAAGGATTAAAAATATAATAATTTTGAGCATGGTTAGGTTTAAAGTGTTAGATATATCGCCCACTTTTTTTTTTCAGAATTAATCTGGATCTTGATATAGACTGGATGAAAAATCATATTCAATTGCTATCTGCCAAGCTTTTGACTTATTTTAAGGTCATCATCAGTGAAAAATTTTTAAGATGTCTACAAATTGACATAAGTTTTTAATTAATCAATGTTGGGGCTGAGTGTATCAAATAAATTTGAATCCATTTATTAAAAATTTAATTATGTAAATTTGTAGGCATCTTTAAGACTGTTTTGCCCTGATGATGACCTGAAAATAAATCAAAAGCAGATAACAATTGAATTTTTTTTTCATACAAACCATACAGAGATGTAGATTAATCATGTATACGTTGGCAGTTTATTGTAAAACATATTTTAAAGAAAATACAACTATATTTTTAAAAGATTAATAATAAGAATTCTTATTACTTGAAAAACAATGTTTAACGATTTCATTATGGGGGCCTTAATTTGTTTTAACATGTAAAGGGTGGCTTGTTTTCTACTGGCTATTAATTCCTCCCACTTTTATGGATTCCCATCTTCAAACAACTTTTTAGATTCAATGTGAAACCATGCTTTTCCGGTAGAGCTTGATGTCTTAGAAAATTGGATGTTGTTAAATGCTTTGTTTTTTTCAATTTTTTTGCTTTTTACATATAAGATTTGATTATTTTTACGTTGCAGTAGTCTGTTAGATGCTAAAATATTTTGTAATTTTCTTGATTTGAAAAAAAAAAAAAGCCAAATGTTAAAATTTTGGTCTATATCAATCAATGTATAACTGAATATATAAAAAAATATATATAATCAATAGTCAATGTATAAATGAATTTTCTATGTGTGTTAATTGTAAAAATGAAAACTACCAAACAGATTTTGATCAAACTTTCACGCTTTGTTTTTATTAGTGTTGGGCAGGTTTATAGACTATAAAATGGGCATATAATAAACAATGAATGTCAGGATTTACAAAAAAGAGAAATAAATTTTTTATTATCTCACTGGCCAACACTGGGTTATAAATCTAGCATTTAAATAAGTCAGGTTATTATAATGGTAAATATAAAAATTTATTTATATTTTTCAGGGTTTTATAAATTTTTTAAAATTGATTTTTGCTAAATTTTGAAGATGGAGTATTTACAAGGAGGAACTATCAAATTAAGAAGAAGGTAAAAATTATTATTTTAAATCTATTACAAGTTTCTAAAATGGTATAAAAAGTGGGCCTTTCACCTTTCCCAGAAGCTAAATGACTTCCAACTAGACGTGATAAAATTTTGGTGTTTGGATAATATCCTAAGTTTTATGTTGAGAGTGCCAAGAAACTCCTGAGATACAAGGAAATAAACCCAGATCTAAGGAGGAGTCATCACAAAATTTTGGAAAGAATTAAAATAAATGAGGTAGCTATAAACAGTACCTGACAAAATGAGAATAACTATGACAGACCCTTCCAAATGGGATGATAGATAACTTTGGAAGAAAGATGGCCCCAAGTTTCAAGAAGGGGCTTTAATATGGTACACGGATGGATCAAAGATGAAACAGGGTGAAGGTGCAGGGGTAAAGGGCTGAACTATAACCTAGCCCCTTTGACTATCCCAACAATTTTTCCAGTTGTGGAGACAGATTTATATACTTTCAGACCGACAGATAGGCTTTAGGTTTTACAAAAATTGAAAACCAGGCACTGTGCAGTCTCATATGATACCCACCCGGAAATGCTAATTTAGACGAAAGATAAAATTTAAATATTTTTCATATTTTAACCGCGTTTTATAACTAATATTAATGTTATTTCCCAGCTCCCGCATTCAACATGTTAAAAGAGTTTTGAGTTAAGTAGGTCTAAGGATACAATTGAGAAATGCCAGGAAGGTGGAGAGCTTTGGTCTCTTGCATAAGGAACCGCCCAATATTGAAGAGATCCTCCAGCTGGTGTGCCGTGAACGGATCTTCCTGTAAATATAAAAATTATATTCCACACACAAATAGATAACTGTCCGTACAAACCGAATATCTTTCAATGGAATGATAGGCATAATAAATTGTCGCATATTTTTCATACTCGTAGTACTTTGATAGCTGTTCATCTTGTCCATCGCTGGAAAAAAATTAATTAATTAATTAAAAAATGAACTGCTATAATAATTTAATTTTTTACCTTGCTAGCTGCAATGCTTGTTTTGCTAATAACCAATAATAATAACTTGCATCATTAAAACGGTTTTCTGTAATTGCATTTGTTGTTAGTTGCATTATTACTCTGAACGCCTCTTCTGGGTGGCAGGCCTTGTGATACGCTAGATGTAAAAACGATCTATTAAATTTTTCTTAAGATTTAAATTTAAATGTCCTACCTTTTTGGGCTTCTACAAAATTATCGTTTTCAGCGAGATAGCGGGCGTAAGGTAAATAAACCATTTCCCTATATTTTGGATTGTCTTCGACGGAGGCGAGCGCTTCATCCCATTTCCCAGCTTGGACCTGAACTTCCAGCAGGTTGTCTTCAGCACCGAGCTTTCTGTACATTTCCGCGGCTAGATCCAGCTCAGAGAGAGAGCGAAGGGTCTCTGCTATTTTCCTAAGAGCTGGTTCAGATTCTTGACCGCTCACTTTCCTACCGACTTCTACCAACCTTCAAAAACAATTTTTTTTCTGTTAACCATTATATTTAAAACGTGTAATAAGTTTTTGCCCTCTGATGTTGACAAATGTATATATCTGAACGTACATATCAACCCATTGGTACTGAGCCATTATCTCGACAGCTTTCATTACATCGCCAGCAGATAGATACATCTGTGCTGCTGCTTTTGGCTCGTTAATATTTTTCGCCCAATCTGCTTTTTTTCTGAGCAGACTTTTTCTGTCCACATCGTCACCGGCACCGAGGTACTCTTGCCCCTGGTCGAACATCCTGAGATCAGTGTACATAGCTAGTGCTTTCTCTGGGCGTCCAGCTCTAGCATAAAGCCTCCCTGCTTCTTTAAACCTTCCTCGGAAGCTGAGAATGTCAGCTAGAAAAACTTCCCTTTCTCTTTCACCTCTTTCCTCCCTCTCCTGAATAAAAATAAGAGAATAAATACAACAAGTTATAAACAAAATTTGTTTTATTTCTTTATTTTCCGTTTCCTACCAGGAAATCTTGAATAAGCTCAAGATAAGTCAGATCCTTTATTCTTATAAATGCTTTTCGGGCAATTTCAAAATTAAGGGCATCGAGAGCCGAATGGGCTAGAGTTTTCCAGTCACTCTCAGTAACTCCAAGACAAGCAATATCATAAACTTCCCTTTAAAAAATAAATAAACATACATATGTTCCACATATTTAAAATAAAAAATATAATATACATACGTAAATAGTTTTTTTTCCAAATATTGATACATAGGAGCAGATAATGGCACTTCAATAGTCGACATTACATTTTGATGGAAACAAAATATTTTAGAACTGCAAAACCCCACTACGAAACCCTAAAAATACAAATTGTTTTATAAATTGACAAACCAAAATTAACACAAACCGTCTTACCTGGTATTTAAGCTGATGTTCTGGAAAATTATCCGCTTTAATGTTTAAAACATTATTTCCAGAATAACAAATCATATCCTCACAACTTGTATTCCAAGCTACGAATTTCGCATTTGGCTCCTTTAAAAAAAAATCAATAAAAAATTTTAAACAGCAGAATAAAAACAATAATTACCTGGAATAAAAGCTGGCCACTTGGGATGGCATAAACAAGGCACTGATCTTTGTCGTTAACAATAGCAAGTTTTCTACGACTTGGACTCATATCTAAGCATTTAACAGGCGAATCTATTTTAATTAATTCAACAGGAAAAGCATTATCTAGATAAACTTTAAGCACCTAAAAAAAATGTTTTGTTCATTAAACAAAAATAAAACCAAAAAGAGCGATTGCTTACTTGGCCATTGGCTAACCCGACAAGAAGCCCTTCGCGGCTGTGTGGCCCTCCAATGACTCTGATGTACCTCACAGGGGATTCCATAAGCCACTCCCTTTCCCTAAGACCATTGAACGCCACTGAGTGGAGTGTACACTCATGACAGATGACTATATGGGCAGAGCAGACGACCAAAAGTGAGCATTCTGATTTAATTTGCATCCTTTCTTTCAGCTTGTAATGCATAGAACCTGCTTCTGCCAAGTACAACTCATAGATGGTCACTCTCTCTCCAAGTTGCACCTAATTTTTTTTTTCTTCAGAAATTATTTTAATTATTAAATATTTTAAACTTACAGCAAGTCTGTGTTTGTATATTGCAACTTTTCTTATTAAATCTCTACACTTTATTCTCAATTTTTGATCCGTAAGTAGATTTTGTATGATAACATCTGTCAGATGTTCCCTAAAATTGAATTAAAAAATAAAGTAATGATTTTGATTAGTTTTTCAAGAAGTAACTTGCCGATAAGCGTATTTCTCCTTGTAAATCCCATGTACTGGGGTAAAGATGACTTGATACATGGCTATTTTTCCATCTTCGCATCCAAGTGCCTTGTAAAAAAAATACCAACTTAAAATTATTACTAATGAAATTAAAAAATGAATTTTTAATTACAATATGATGAGGATTCGTTTTGGAGGCGATAGTCCAAATCCAAGACTGGTGGTCCTCTCCAATTTTTGCCAGTTTAATACCATCCCTCGAATAAAGGAAACATATATTGTTACATCCAGCAACGAGTATAAATTCTCCGTTGTTCATATAGTTAACACAAAGTGGTTCATAACCCAATGATCTTTCTTTTCCAACCTAAATTAATAGTACTTTTAATTTGTATTTTTAATTTTTAAGAAATTATTTGTACCATTTTCCCACTTATAGTGTAAAATGACATCGATTGGCCCCAATCAGTGACACAAAGAATGTCATGATTATCTTCCCTAAAAAAAAACCACACCATTTTTTTAACATAATGCAATATAGAAAGCAGAATTCAGCTTGAATAGCATACTTAACAGGGCTCCAAGCAAGGGCCCAAATTGGAGTTTCGATTCCGCCCGGTCTCTCGATTCTTGATTTTTCCTCACCGGATCTAGTCCTGATTGAGACGCTGCCAGAGGAAAGACCCAATGCCAAAAAGTGGCCATCGGAACTCCAAGAGCAGGCTAGAATTTTAGCAGAAGACTTGTACTTCTGAATCGACTTGAATTCCGGTGACCAGAGGACAAGCTCGCTCCCGCCACAGCTTGCCAGGTGAGTTGATATTGGGTTGAACCGTAAACATTGTACAGCATCACCATGGCTGAAAAAAATTAAATACTTAATTACACTATAAATAAAACAAAAGGTAACTCAATTATGTACATGAAATGTTTACTATATTATTAATTTAAATATTAAAACTATCACATCTCCATGATTGATTTAGTAAAAATTATTCTCATATGAACATTTACATATATTTAAAATTTAATTTAGTATTAAATGTTTAACATTAATTAGCATGACCATCTCCAATCATCCTGAACTTCTTCGAGAATAGGCAGGCAAGAGATTTCATTTCTTATCAATTACTACTAACTTCTTCATCTTAATCATTACAACATACACACATTACTCACCAGCAAAAAATATGTTTAAAAACTAATATTTTAAAAATTACTAATTGTAAGAAAGTTTTTTTTAAAAATGAGATTTTGTCTTGTATGTGCGGTAATGAACCTATAATTTGATTGCATTTTAAAAATGTCAAACCAGCTAAAAACTTCAACATTTTATGAGCTTTCCAATTGACTTTTCAAGACCTCGATTATGTCTTTTCAAAAGTTCAATTAATTTGATTTACATCAAAATGATTAGTTCTTGGATCCTGCATTTAATCCCAGAATACATTCCAGACCACCAGTCTTCCCAATTTCCAACTGAAATGGTCATAAAAAAATCAACTTAATCAAAGTCTTGAAAAGTCCATTGGAAAGCTCATAAAATGTTCTAGTTTTTAGCCCGTTTGCCATTTTCAAAGATTTGATGTAAGGGAGCTACAGTTTTAAGAAGTTGATCCAAAATTATTTCACAATTTTTTTTTTGTGTAAGTAGATGCAATTTTTAGAACAAAATTGCGCTCACTTAAAGAAAATACAATGCAAAATCAAAAAGTAGGGTCAAAAGTTAGGAAAAGTTATGTTACAGTAGAGAAAATTCAGGTTTTATATAAAGAATTTGTTTTTCTTAAAAAACACTACAAAAAAATTGTATCTATTTGAATGGATTGATATAAAACCACCAAGTTTACTGCATTCTAATTCACTTTAGATATACTGTCACAGGCATTTTTTTTAACATGATGAGCTGACCACCCACTGTAGCCTGATTGAGGGTTGATGTGATATTCAATATTCAACCATCAGCCATCTTACATTACACATTCACCCTAATAAATACATTCACTCTCTATATACACAAAGAAACACAAGACAAGATATCTACTAACTGCTGTATGCAACAAAAAAACCCTGTTTTCTCTAAAAAAAAATTGCAACAGTGAATCCAAAGATCCAAAGTAAGTGTCGGTGTCAACCTTATATGCCTACTCTTAGCCAGAAAATATTATGTTGTAGAAAATATTGAAATGTTTTATTCTTATAGTGAATTTCATTTTTAAATATAATTTAAGATTAAACAAATATTTCTTTTACTTTCAGTATAAATGATGGACAAAATAAACATTCCACCCATAAATTTTAATTTATTTAGGTTAATTCATATTTTACGTACCAAAAATAGGTTTGGTTGTAAAACTAAATCATTTAAAAAGCAAATGTTTATTACATAATTATAAAAAAAACTATAATTACATAAAGAAAAAAGGAATTAAAAAACAAATAAAAAAGTTTAAAAAACTTTTTGACCCCTTTAATACTGAGTATTTCAACTTCTGGCACGAATCACGTCCGTTATACACCTCTGCACTCCTTGGAAAAGGCTTCTGGTAAAATCCTGAGGAATTCTTTCCCATTCTTCAAGAATGAAGGTTTCCAACACTTCTTGGGTTGCACATCATACTCATCAGTTGTGTTCGATTGGGTTTAAATCTGGACTTCGAGCTGGCCACCAAGCACTCAATTCCAACCTCATTCAGTCATCGCCAATATGTGCTCTGTGGGGTCTGGCATCATCCAGCATTAGCAAAAATCTCTCAACGATGTGGGGGGCAAATGACACTATGTTCTTTGATTGTCTTGTAACTGTAAAATTAGATAACTTCCTCATACAACTACCACTTTAGTGCAGGTGTTCAATGCCAGCACAGAACATCAATGATCCACTGAGGAATGCCACCTAAGGAACAGCATGGGATATACCTTTCTCCTGAGTGTCCCCATATGAAATTAAGCCCATTTGAAGATTCAATGCCAACTCTCACCTCGTCTGTAAAGAGAACTCATCCCCAATCTTCCAATGTCCAATTCACATGTTCCCGTGCATATTGGAGCCTCACCATTTTCTGAACTGTGATAAGAAGAGGTCCACGAGCTGGAGGTTATTTTCATTGAGCCTTCTTCTTACAGTCCTGAAGAAAATTGAAAAATTTCGGACTTGTCTCATCATTTTTTTATCTCATTTCCTGTAATGCTGCGGTTATGTAGAGCTTTATGATGGTGAATCTATCGTCTCTCTGGTTTGTAGACCTAGGCCAAACTTGGCCTTCTAGTGTGAAGTCCTCTTTCTCTGAAGGGCACGAACAAGAAGAAGAACCCTTTCTATTATAGAATATTTTACCCTCTCCTGGAGACTTCGCACTGGCTGTATCCTTCCATTAATAATGACATGACCGTGACACTATCATACTCACTCAAATGCCTAACTAGAGCCAGTGGAAAAAATTTAAGAATAAAAATAATAACAGAGTAAAAAGATTAACTGAAAGAGATCTTTAGGCGTTGTTAAATGGAAGGGCGTAATGCTCTTTTTGTGCAAATGGGATTAATCAGTACAAAAGTAAGCAAAGTATTATTTAATGTTTATTTTGACTATGAAAGTTTCTAATTACCTTTAACTAATGTGGAAAGATAATAAATTGAATGTTAAATTTGGCCATGGTGTATTCAAATTCAAGTTGCACCTGCTTGAGGATATCTTAAGATTACTCCACCATTAAAGCGGGGTTGTTGCAACACTGATTTCATGCAATATGCATTTTTTTATCCGTAACTCTCATAATTCAATGTTTTCTTATATTATATTTGAGCCATGTCATTTTTTTCCATAAATTTTTAATAATATTTATAATTAAATACCTGTATTTTAATACCCCTTCTAATTTGTTACTCCAAATGATGACATTTTTGTCACCGCTTCCTGAAGCAAAGCGTTTCCCGTCATTGGAGTAGTCAACAGCATAGACGTTATCTTTGTGACCTGAAAAAGAGGATTTATTCGGTTTTAAAATTAAAAAAAGTTTATTTTTATATATTTGGGTTGTTTTTTTTTCTTGCCTTTTAGAGGTTGAATCAGGGAGCCGTTCGTCGTGTCGTAGACGAGGACCATCTGCCCGGCGGCGGCGACAAGTTGTGTGCCATCGGGGTTGAAGCAGAGCGAAGACACGCTGAATTTAAACAATTTTAGAATAAAATTTTAAATTTGTTTTCAGCCTGTACTCACCATTGTTCCTGTTTGTCGCGGTCGCACACTTTGTCCACCCATTTAAGCAAGGTTCTCATGTTATTCTCTTCCAGTCATATGTGACTTTTTTGGCAAATTCACTCGCGCATTCTTCAGCGTTGTTTTACAATTTCGCGTTTTTGTAAAGGAACCGCTCGGCCGGGCAAACTGTACACTTGAGGCGTTTCGAGGTTTTTTCCGTTTTATTCTTTCAAATTTCTTTGAAAAATCAAATGATGGCCAAGAAGGCAGAAAGCTGACGGTCCCACTCGGTTGCCGGGGCAACTCAGAAAGGACAACAGACTCTGTTAACCTACCTGAGAGGTTTCGACCTTTTTCCTGTCCCGGCTCTTTTTTTTTCCTCGAAGTTGAAGGTCCTTCGACACGAGGGACTTATTAAAATGAAATTACGTCAAAGATTCACAAACACGAAAAAGCCAAGTATAAAAAATTTACCTCTTCAAACTTTTCGCTTCACTCAGCAACTTAGGCGACAAAGCGTGCAGTCGATATTGATCATTGTTCAAACACGCAAACGATTGTCATCAAACATGCATTAATTGATTGAATATTTTATGCAAGAGTGATTATAAGCCGATACAGTTTGTTTCAAAATGCAACGTCTTTAGAAAGTTTCCGATTTTGTTTTTGAGACTATCGACCAGGATTGGAAATGGGCAAACTATAAGTTCATTACTTAGCAGACCTCTTTCCAACAGATTTTTCCCCTTTGGGCAAACTGCAAAGCCTACTGGAGGACTTAACACAACAGCGCTAGAAAGTCGTTTGATCTCCCTTACACATTCGTGTAGTAAATCGAGACTACCAGACGCCTAAGAAACAAAGAAATAAAACCAGATCTAAAGAGAAGTCGTCATAAAATTTCGGAGAGAATTAAAATAAATGAGATGTTTATAACGGTACTTAACAAAATGATAGGAAAGCTCGACTTTGAAAGACCCATCCATGTGCTCATAACAGAGTTCTTTGGAAGAAAGTACAATTTTCAGGAATATGTGGTACTGATGGATCATCATACCTTGAATTGGTTCCAACTATCTTCCAAGCTGATGCAATCCAAATCAGTGCACTGGAATGGGCATATTTTGGGACAGTCGGTCAGCTATAAAGTCTGGGAATACTGAAACTGCCTAAAGATTAAAAAAAAAAAAAAAAACACGTTGAGGTGGATCCCGAGACCTGAAGATATAGAAGGAAATGACATGCTCACCAACTAGCCAAAGAAAAAAACAGCCTCAGTTTCAGTTGATATATGTTATTTTTTAACAACGAAACTTTCTTCTTAATCGAAATAAATAGAAATAGCTTCGAAGTTCTGATGGAGATGACATTCCTCGAAAGCATGACGAAGAAACTGCGTGCTTTTCTTTCTTTCATTCCTGATTTTTAATACACAATCATAATGTTTACTTACACTTAAATTTAAAGCTAAGTACTCTTAAAATTATTGTTTATATTAAGTTTCAGTTCTATAAAACTATAAGATATACATATTTGTTATGAAAGAACTTTTTTCTAGGCCATAAATACAAATAGTTTCAAATTTCTGATGGAGACGACATATTCTTCGAAAGTTTGACGAAGAAACTTCGTGTTTTTCTTTCTTTCATCCCTAATTGTTTATACACAATCATAATGTATACTTCAACTTTTTTTTTCAAATTTAAAGCTAAAAACGCTTAAAATTATCTTAAAATAATTTCCTTATACTGTTCTATACATCTATATGATCTTTATTTTTTATCAAGAAAACTTTACTCATGACCATAAATGGAAATAAATAGAAATAGCTTCAAAGTTCTGATGGAGTCGACATATTCTTCGAAAGTTTGACGAAGAAACTTCGTGTTTTTCTTTCTTTCAACCCGATTTTTTATACACAATCATAATGTATACCTCAACTTTTTTTTGTAAATTTAAAGCTAAAAACGCTTAAAATGATCATAAAATAATTTCCTTATACTGTTCTATACATCTATATGATCTTTCATTTTTATCAAAGAAACTTTTTCATGGCCATAAATGGAAATAAATAAAAATAGTTTCAAATTTCTGATGGAGACGACATATTCTTCGAAAGTTTGACGAAGAAACTTCGTGTTTTTCTTTCTTTCATCCCTAATTTTTTATACACAATCATAATGTATACTTCAACTTTTTTTTGCAAATTTAAAGCTAAAAACGCTTAAAATTATCATAAAATAATTTCCTTATACTGTTCTATACATCTATAAGATCTTTATTTTTTATCAAGGAAACTTTACTCATGACCATAAATGGAAATAAATAAAAATAGCTTCAAAGTTCTGATGGAGTCGACATATTCTTCGAAAGTTTGACGAAGAAACTTCGTGTTTTTCTTTCTTTCAACCCGAATTTTTATACACAATCATAATGTATACCTCAACTTTTTTTTTGTAAATTTAAAGCTAAAAACGCTTAAAATGATCGTAAAATAATTTCCTTATACTGTTCTATACATCTATATGATCTTTAATTTTTATCAAAGAAACTTTTTCATTCCCATACCATAAATGGAAATAAACAGAAATAGTTTCAAAATTATGACATATTCTTTGTAAGTTTGACGAAAAAACTGAGTGAGTCTTTCTTTCATCCCTAATTTCTTATACATTATCATAATGTTTACTTAAACATTTTTTTTTTTCAAATTTAAAACTAAATACTCTTAAAATAACATGAAATTATAATTTACATTCAGTTTCAGTTTTATAGGGTCGTTATTTTTTACCAAAGAAACTTCCTTGATGGCCACACCCAAGCTTTGTTTGAGAGAGCTTTAAGACTTTGACGATCACATTTAAAAGTAGGCCGGGACTGAAAAGTTCGCAACTTTTCGTTAGAACTTCTTTGTTTTGCCTCTCTCTTATTTTTTGTAATTATATTTCGTATTCGTCACTCTGTAAAATTAATTCTCTTCTTACAAAGTGACCAATGGGGGAAAATTTCACTAGCTTTGATGGAACAGTTAATAATGCATAAAAAATTAAATGTGTTCACAGGAGATAAACATAGTCACTTAAAATAATGTTATATTTGTGATGTACAACACATTAAAATAGGATTTTAGATCGGAACATATAAATTTCTTATGCTATTTCTAATAACTTATAAACTATTTAACGTTTAATAGTATATGAATACCCTATTGTGGTTCACATGGTTAAAAGCATAATATTTATTATTAATCGAAATTGTGAATTTTGGCGTTTTATTGTTTTCAGTGAAATGTTTGTGTGAATTAATAGTAAACGGAAACTGTATATTTTATTCTAAAATATAACGATTATAAAAAAATGTATGCAGGCTAAGCAGTAATTGTAAATATGTCCAATTATTTTTTGTATTCGTTTAAAATATATTTATTAATCTAAAGGCCGGAAATCAATTAGTAAAAATAGCGTCAGTTCAAAATGAGTAAAAAAATATGTCTAGCACTAATTAAACGAAATCTTTTTAAAAAATAAGTTGAAATATAAACTAATTTGTACAATTTATCATGTCAATTGTTAAGAAGACAAAATTTATGGGTTTTTTTTTTAAAACGATATATATAATATATAGTACATATAAATTTTTATTTATAGTATAATAATCTTTATTATGCATAAAATAAAGTTCTTTGCCACTCTTTTGCACCATATTTATATATATATCACTCTTGGGTGTTGGCTCATCCATTTTACACAGTTCTGTTGGAATGTTCGCAACAATATACTTTTACATATGAAAAATAATTTTAAATAGAATGATTCAAAGGAGTGGTGTTCTATGCTCTTCAAATATATTATTTATATGGGGACTTTCTATACATATATATATTATTTACATATATAGAAAGATAATTGTATTTATTTATAAACTACACATGTTAGTTCATTTGTATCGCTACAAGGATCAAAATTAATTGACGGTAGTAACCAATACAAATCAACAGTTTTTTCCATTTAGTTAACATTCTTATAGAATATATGGCAAATAGAAAAATACAAACAATTTAAAACGCTTAAAATTTTAATGCGTACAAGGACCTCGTGTTCGTGGAATATCCCATTTCTTAGGCCCTTCTCTCCAAAATAAAATACAAAAACAGTTTAGAATGTGGATTTTGGTAACAGATTTTGGCATAAATCTTAATTAAAAGATTAATTAATTACGAGTCAATTGTGTCAACTCTTGTGCTAAAGGGTCTCCCCTCCGTAAACTTTAGTGATCTATAATTATTATTTAGAAGGAAGAAAATTTTTGAAATAAAAAGCTGTACAGACTGGGAATGTGTACAAAATACCCAATGTTTATCATAATTTTTTTTGTTTGTTTACTTTTAACATTTCATATTTGAAGAAATTATGATACCTATAATTTTTTTATTAGGAATTAAAGTTAATGATATGAAATTTATTTGTTGCTTGTTTGAGTTTTTGGGTCGTCTTGGTCGTTTTCGGCTGTGGTCGCCGGCGTCGGATCGTCTTGAAACATTGGGTTTTTAACTTCCATTTCGCCTGTCTGAAAAATGAAAACAGAATTTTATAAATTTAAAAAAAGTTTTAATGCACTTAAATTAATTAATTAAATAAAAATAGAAGGAACTACTGAATCACTGTGTATTGGTGTAAATACCCTCACTGAGAAGGAGGTCGCGAGCCCTGTGATGGTTCAAGAAGAGATTCTTGTCGCCGTTTTTGGCTAGTTCAAGAACACATTGGATAAATAGAAAGGATCATAAAGGATTTTGGATCGTAAGGATTGGATGCGTTGGTCGGTACGTTTAGTTGAACCCCAAACTTAGATGCCGTATGTCCAAATGGGTCTCAGAACGGTGTTGTAAATATCCAGCAGTCTTTTAAAAAAGTCTGAAGCTTTGGTTCTTGTATTTCGAGACGCTTGTATGGGTTCTATGTAAGTATGAAAGTGGTTTTTCAATTTATAGCCCATGATAGTAGACTACTAGTAGAGAATGATATTGTCATAGATGGAACCAGTATTCTTTGAAAGGTTAAAGAGGCATGTATTCATTTTTGTACGTTTAATGTCATTTTCTGCCGCTTGAATCCACGGATCAAGGATTGTGACATGGGCTTGGCAATCTGCGTGAGATGACGGAGTCTTTATGCCGGTATGGCTGTATCATCCACAAAGGTGGTAAGTATAGTTTCACTGTGTGGGTTCTGAGGTCCTTCCTTGGGGTGAACCTGCGCTAACCGGCTAATAGAGAGAAGCCGATATTTGAAAGTATTTGTCGACAGTAGGTAAAAAGTCTCTTAAGCTTCCAGAACTGCACCGAATGCCATATCCGATCAAAGGCTTGTATCTAATAATATCAATCATTTCGTTCAAGGGCGGAGGCGATGATGTTTAAAACACGATGGCCCTGCTGAATGAAGGAATAGGTAGAACGTCTGAACCCCAAACTGCTGATCAGGAATAAGATACGTGACTGAAGGATGGAAGAATGTGCTTAAGCAGTTTTTCCAGGCTTTTGACCATTGTAGGTAAAAAACTAATTAGGTTAGGAGGTTTTATATGCTTTGTAATCACCAGGATATGGGAACATATCCGATGGGATGAAAAGAATATTGTTCTAACAGATGAAGGAAAGGAAAAAGAAAAAATCGAGTATCAGCTAGTAAGTAAAGAGAGGACATAATTGAGCTTCCAGAATAGCCCAGAATGCCATACACAAACAAAGGTTTGCTTCTCATTAGGAATACACATGAAGAGCGATGATATCTAAACATGCTGAATAGAGGAATGATAATGGCTGATTCTAAATTGCTGATCAGGAAGGATGGTAAAAATCTGCCTAAGCAGGACATTTTATAGGATTTACACGAAAGCATAATCCTCGTCATTTCACGAGTATGCTAGAGATACGTTGACCCCCATATTTTTGAGTCTGGTATCCGGGGAAACCTTCAAAATAAAGCAGCTCCTTATTACCAAATCCTAAACTTTACGTGATCGTTGCTTCAAAGTATGGTACGGCAACTTCTCAGAGACTTCTAACTGCGCCCAACAGGGAACATTCATGGTTCATCAGTTATACTATTACAATACATTCTTACAATCTATTCAAGACACCTGCAATATCTAGGAGCATCGTGAGGTCATCAAATAATGGATCAAAACGTGGAATGCGAAACACCCAAATTCGACTGAATGGTCAATTCGTAGTTCATCATTTATACTATTATACTGCTGACAAGCCGGTACATCCCGAAGCATCCTTACAATCTATTCAAGACACCTCCAATATCCAGGAGCATCGTGAGGTCATCAAATAATGGAGCAAAACGTGGAATGCTAAACACCCAAATTCGACTGAATGGTCTATTCGTTAACAGCAAGGAACTACAGACATTTAAACAGAAAAAATATTACACTTAATCAATAGACTGGACGTGGAATACACAAGAACTCATCAGACGACCTGGACAAACTAACACTTTAACTTACTTCGACCTATTTTGAAATACGGAGCTGTGGGTACACGAAGCCATCAAATACCCAACTTAACCAGCATTTCAACCAAAAGTCTTAAGAATAATTTTCAAAATTCCTTACTATCTCTCTCACCTCACTATCCACAACGACCTTATTATGACTGATAACAACATTATTATGCCTTTTCTCTTTTAATTTCACATTTTGTGATTACGTTCGCACATGAGAGGGAATTCTTTTATTATTTTTTCCCTCTAAAATCATTGCTAATATTATATACATTAAATCGATTATATTTAGTGGTCTATTGACCAAATTACTTCTTTCGATTAATTAATATTTTTATGTAAGGTTTTTGGTTAAAATGAAAAATTTAGTCGAACCCACGACCTTCGGCTAAATATGAGCTATCGCGACTTCGAAATATTATTTATATTCATTATGTGGTTTATTTAAATTTATTTTATTATTTGTTAACAACAAAACTTTATTAATTTACCTTGAATAATTGCCAGATTTGTAAAAATTTCTGTGGTTTTATTGTTATCCTTAGGGGACCTTCGCCTCAGGATAAAGTATTTTTTCTCTCTTTCTCTCTCTCACCTTAACATTCCGTTCGTTAAAGTATTGATCCGTTCCAATTAACTATTGTTTCACGCCAATCTGTCAACCCGTTCTAATCCTACTTCTTAAGCCGTTTCCACCCAAGAACGAGACCCCGAGACCTCAGAGTGTCAAGTGCAGTGTTACCCATAGCCATGTCATGTTCAAAATTTTATAGCATAAAGATCAATTTATAATATGTATATTCATGTTCAAGTTACAAATCAATATTTTTTTAATGACCCTAGGGTGCCTATTGCTGGCAAGTCGACATTGCGTAAATGTACGCGCACTTTGATTTGTTTCAAATTGGATGGGACGTAAGAAAGTTCTGACGTCTGTGTCCTTGAATAAATTAAATTTAATCTCGTAAAAGAAAAATTGGTATAAATGTAAATCGCTTTAGTATAATTTTTTTTAGCGAACTATATTTCGACTCCAGAAGAAAATCTCTTGCAAGATAATTTTAATCCAGTAAGCCAAATTGAATCATACGAATTTGCCATAACCAGGTCCCTTAAACTCAGAGCCTAGTCATTTGCATACGAACCGGTAACCTTTCCTGATAAATATGCATGTTGAAGAGGACGGAAACACGTCCTCGACGGCGAATTCACCTGGCGAAACGGATTTTCTGATTTTAAACAAAACCCACACGAAAATTTCCAAAAATGTTTATTTGAAAAATAAATTCTCAGTTAAATTATCCATTTAGGATTTTTAATTATTTTTAAACAATAAAAGGTCGATTGCTGTTTTTTACTCACCGGTGCAAGTCCCGGACATTCGTAGACAGTGTAATCGCCTTCTTCGTTGTCGTCATCACTATCTGCTTCCGATATTGATCCTCGCCTCTCTCCTCGATTGCTGAAAAAGAGCATTTTTTTAAAACCACTACAATTTATATTGAGCAACTTGAAACTATGATCACTTTCATATAAAAATCAACGGGAGCAAATTCCAACACTGGCAGAAAGTCATTGTACAATAATTAAGTAAATCATACAATAAGCCTTCATAAATTATAAATTAGAAAATTTTACCTTGGTTAGAGCATATTTTTATCAATTATTTCAGGTAGGTAAAGGGTAAAATGAGAAAACAGGATAAGTTTACGTTTTCGTTTTAACGAAGAGGAAGAGATGATTAAAATTAACTCTATTATATTTGGTCGTCTGATTGATCAAATAACTTCTTTCAATTAAATAATCTTTCTATGTAAGGTATTGGTTGAAATGAAAAAGCTAGTGTCACGAGCGGGATTCGAACCCAGGACCTTGACCTTGAGAAACGGCAAAAAGGAGGGAAAATTCGAAAGGTAGGTGTCCGAGTGGATCTTCACGAGGGCTCAAGTGGTTAGAACAGCGGCGTATTTTGAGTTATTAATGAGAACAGGGAAAGAGCGACCAGATAGAAACGATTCGATGAAGGTTAAGAAATGATCACCTACTCAAGGATTTTCAACTTAAACAGAAGAATATTAATGTCAATTCTATCGAAGGCTTTAGATAAATCTGTATATACAGCGTGAATACTATTTCGATTCACAAGGGAATTAACAATAAAATCATAATAATGAAATAAATTTGTACTAGTGGATCTACCCCTTAAGAAACCATGCTGATTGCTGTTAACACGAAAAGCCATGCTCAGGGCCTCAGCAAGAATATAATCCAACATTTCTGCGAAAACAGAAGATTTGCAAACAGGAAGTGGGAATTACCTTTCTTATAAGTTACCACTTGAGTTTACCAAGTTACCAAGTTACCACTATAAATTACCACTTGAGAAAATGTTCATGCCTTCCCTAATCCATCTTTGAAAAATAATGGTAAGAAGCAGAGCAATCGATGAAGAGCAAGACAAACATCTCTGGAATTCCGTCAGGTCCAATTGCAAAGGAATCATTCAAAATAGCACGTCTATTCAATGTTAGTAATATGAATAAACCGTGTTGGTCTGCGAATCGGTGAGTTGATGCTGAACAGGTATTGGGTCCGTCTAGTTCCTCACTGAAGATCACATGCCGAAACCGTTTGAGCAGTTCAAAAAACTGGCGAGTGGAGACGGACCCAATTCTAATTAGTCAAATTAACTAGCTGTTTGCCTTAAAAAAATACGGATTGTCCTCAAGATCCCATCACCACAGAGATAAAACACAGTATGTTGTCTGCGAGTAATCGTGTCATTATTCACTTGATCTGGGTGAAGGGTCACAGTGATAATAAATTTAACAATCAGGTCGATTTACTGGCAACAGAGGCTGCAGTTTCGGGAAGTTGTATTGAAGAGATCTCGGTGTCGGATATCACCTTTCATAACAAAACGATTCTGAGGAAAAAATGGCAAAAGGAATACACAGAGGCAAGTAATTCTAAGAGCCTCTGGTATTTTAACATACAGCCAACGATCCAGTCTGCAGCATGGTTTTCTACCGTGAGACGACCGAGAAAGTTTTTAACTTGTATATTTAGGCTAAGGTTTAACCATCACCGTCTTCCATCCCACCTCCACAAAATGGGAATCTTCTCAAATGGCAAATGTTCATGTGACAATTCTACAGTGGCAGATGCGAATCATGTTCTTTTGGCCTGCCCACTAAAACTTCAAGTAAGAGAAGATATTTACAAAACACTGGTGAAAATTAAAGTGCCACTACCCACCTCAGTTAACTTAATTTTAAGTTATATCAAGAACATTGAAAACCTGGATCCCATTTTTACATTTATCGAAAAAAATGACATAGATATTTAAACAAATTTTAATAAAGAAGGATAGAATAGTAATATTGGATCAAGTGGACGTAGGCAGGCGGCGGCTGGGCCGTGCCTGGCTGGGTGGACGCTTTTGGCCTCTTGGGCGAGTTTGGCCCCGGATTGTGGGATGGATGCGGACTTTTCCATGGGCCCTAGGTACCGTGTAGATGGTTTTTATCCGCATCCATCTGGAACAATCTGTGACAAAGTAAAACAAGGGTAGAAGGACCTTATGCAAAGAAGAGGCCTGGGCGTCCTTCCCGGTCGGCGCTCGTGGCGTTCCGTCTCGGCGGGGTCGGGCTGTGGACTGTCCGCGAACTAGTTGTTTTACTTTTCCCAACTGTTACAAATAACATATTGAGTCGGGAATATTTTGGGGAATTTAATTCAATTAAATCCCCCTCAGTTGTTGGTTATCGATAATGCTAGTTTTTCCTTAACGGACCCTTTTCTCGCCTACCCAACAGAGTGCATCACTTTTAGCTGATTTGCCCTCATAAAGCAAAGTAGAGCGAAATTTGGATTCAACGCTAACCATATTGCTTTTATTGCCTACCTTACTGATAAATATACCTACTAATAAATCTATAATAATATAGTCATAGTTGACGTAAAAAGTGATATCCTCTTCAATCACGAACTTGTAATTCCTATGACGTTGCGACCACCCCAAGGGGCTATCATGATTGATGTTGCCCACAGGGCTTCCCACAATAATGATTAAGCTACTGCAAAGCGTGCCCTAATTATTCGCCGTCGTGTTAATAAACGACGATGTCTTTTTAAATGTTGATTTTTATCGCCTAAGGATAAAAGGGAGATAAATTGAATTTCCACCCTTAGAAAAGGGCGACGTAACTTATTAAATATTTCCGAAGAGAATCACAAAATAATTGGGTTATATTGTGTCGAGTAAGTTTGTTGTAAGGGACCGGTTGATAATTTCGTTGGACCTCCTTTGGTAAGAAAGTCGTGACGCGCCTGATTAATTCCCAGGAAAATAACTTTTTTTGTCTTAACAAAATAATTTACTTAAAAATTAGGTCAATAAATGACTGCATTATCCACTCTTAATTACTTCGCATCGATAATTCACTTTGCAAACTTACACAATGAAAACATTTGACCCACAAAATTTGCCATTTTGTAAATTTGTTAAGTGCATGATAATTGGATAACTTCGTACGATGATTTTTCTGTAAAAAACTAATTTATTAAGTGAAAAAGAAAGGTGTATATGTATTATTGCAAGGTTGCACTTGGTGACCAAAACGAACCGTATTTTTTCAAATCCACTGTCCATTACGGTCGATGGAGTTTCATTATAATTTATAACTGACATAACACAAAAAAATGTGATAAAATAACAATTCATGGCTCGAAAGAGGTATGAAAAAGAACGAATGAAAAAATAATCCTTTTATAAAGGAGGGCTTGGTACCAAAAAAGAATGGGAAAGAAAGGGAAATAACTCCTTTAAAAATGGCACCATCCTCTGGTACACAGACGTATCTAGAACACCAAATACTCAGAACCCATGGGAAAACACACCAGTATCTTCCAAGCTGCATGCAATTGAAAGACGTACCCAATTCAATCTAAATAAAGGGTACAAAAACAAGAAAATAGCTATCATGTCAGATAGCCAAGCAGACATCAAAGCACTAAGCTCAAGTATCATTAGTTCAAGGATGGTGCTGAACTGCAAAACCAAATTAAACGTAGGTATGCAGAATAAAGTCAGCCTCTGCTGGGTCCCAGGACACATAGGAATAGAAGCCAACGAGAAAGCGGACACCCTTGCAAGGAAAAGGGCTGCCACACCGCTGATAGGACCAGAATCCTTCTGTGGCATAGGATTCCACACTATTATCTCAGACAGAAGGACAAAAAGAAAATGAAGGAACAATGGAATTCACTCATTGGACATAGACAATCCAAGAATCTTCTAACCAATTTTTGTAAGAAAGAAATCACAGAATGTGTCAAAGGAAGCAGGAACAGACTGCGAATCCTAACAGGATTCCTTACAGGACACTGTAGATTAAATGGACACCTAAAGAAAATTGGAACAATCCAAGATGGCACATGTAGATTCTGCAAGGAGCAGAAGAGACGCCAACACATTTACTAACAAACTGTGGAGCTACATTAGTCCGCAGGAGGAAATGTTTTGGGATGTGTAATGTGACCATAGAAGAGCTTCAACCACTGAAACCGGGCCTATTAATCAAATGTCTTGATGAAATAGGACTCACCGATGTGCTTTCGGCAGAGAAGGGGGATACAATAGCTCTTAAAGGGCGCAGTATACCATACCCTGGAAAAAATTACATCTACAAAGGAGGGCTTCAGGCCAACTACCTTTTCAACAGACACAAAAAATAGATATGTAATGGTATCATTGTCAGAGCTTGAAATGAAACAAAAACAGATTTATGCTGAAAAAATAACACTAGTAACTCGCAATACCAGGAATGAATGAAAAGAAGAAGAATATTAAAGGAATATCGTCCAGGAGTATAACATACCCTGATGTTCCTTGATCGACCATTTACCACTTAACAATTTGTACTTTTGACATAAGAACCTGAGATTAAAAAATCAGGAGGGTTTATAAAATATGTACTTGCTTGATATAGAAAAGGTCTCAGATTCTGTGGTTTTCTACCGGATGAGTACAGTTTTCCGATATTGTAGCACAGATCACTCTTTTCTTTAAACTCCGGGATATCTCCCTCAAGAGGTATACGGACAAGGGTTTCACCGAGGAACTTCGTCTAGCTCAAATCTAGACGTGAAGGCGGTGAATCACTACAAGCTTTTCTTCTGATGACGAACTCCTCCGGAGGACTTCAACTTAACCTCCATTGGTCGCGAACTAAAATGTGAACGCAGAACTGCATGATGAACATAGAAACATCGACTCAATGGCTCCAACTTTCTCAGCTTGGCTCTCCACCTGGCTCTAAGGCCTTTAGTTCTGTCCAGTCTTATACCCATTCTCAGCCAAGAGGAGCCTTGCGTGGCGAACCATGGATGGCCAGATTTTAGAGAGGTTGGATTCCTGGGCCTTGCTGACGAGGCTGTGAATGAGATGTGGGGAGGTTGTATTTTCTAATCACAGGGTTCTCACTCCGGGCCCATATTATTTCTTGTTTATTTCAATAATGTCAGTAGAACATTCATACATTGTAAGTTTTCTTTATTGGTGGATGATTTGAAAATTTTAAACTCCGCTCTCGACTGTTAGTTTACAGAGGAAACTGGATTTCTTTATTAAGTGGTGTGAGCAGAATTGTCTTCCTTTGAATAATAACAAATGCAAGTAATTAAATTTACTAAAAATATCTGGTGAAGTTTATTGTTTTGATTACTTCGTTGATGGGCAGAGATTGGAATTCGACCTTGGTGTCGTTTTCATCAGAAAGAGTGATTTCAGTGACCATATATTCTAGGTAAGGCTTTACACAACCTTGGATTTATTACCAGGTTTTCTTTAGATTTTAAAAAAGTCTTGGCAGTTAAAATATTATATCTTTCCCTCGTGCGTAGCCATCTGGAATATGCAAGTGTCGTGTACCCTTTCCATGCCGGTAAGATTAGAAAAAGTCCAAAGGAAAGAAACTAGGATAATAGCCTTCGGATTTGGTCTTGCAGATCAGAATTACTTGGAAGGATTGAACGGGCTTGTTCTAGAGTCACTTGGGAAGGATGGATGTATTAGTCGGTAAGTGTAATATATTGCGTATTTTAAGAGCTGTTGCATCCTGTTCTGTGCCGGTGAGTTCTGTGCAGCACCACTGTTTATTAATAGGTGTGTTGGTGTCTCCTCTGCTTCTTTGCAGAATCTGCACGTGCCGCCTTGGGTTATACCAATCTTTTTTAAATGTCCGTTTAGTTTTCAGAGTCCTGTAGAATTCGCAGTTTTTCCTGCTTCCTTTGATACATATTCTTACTTCTTTCCTTCAGAAATTTGTTAGGAGGTCCTTGGACTGTTTGTCCAATGAGTGAGTTCCTCTGTTCCCTTATTTTCTTTTTATCCTTCTGTCTGAGGTACTGATTGATAATATGAGTTCCTATGCCACAGAAGGATTCGGGTCAGCCGCTCTTTTTACCCAGGAGAGGCGGACTTTGTTCTGCATACCTAATATGTTTAATTTGGTTTTGCTGTTCAACACCATCTTTGAACTAATGATGTTTGAGCTCAGTGCTTTGATGGCTGCTTGGGTATCTGGCTTGTTATGCTTTGGCTATGTTATTGTTTTTATACCCTTTATTCAAGTTGAATGGAGTACATCTCCCGATTGCGTAGATCTCAGCTTGGAAGATACTGATGTATTTTCCCATAGTCACTTAGCACGGCTGTATTTCTTTGATCTCATTTGGGGTTGGAAATGGTAGAATGGGGCCTATGATGTGCAAAAGTTATATTTATGACTGTGTGCCTCAGCGACCACTAAGAAACCATAATTTGTTCTTTGTTCCATACTACAAAACAGAATATGGACTAAACTCCCCTCTACCAAGGATAATGAGATTGCTAAAACATTATTCAATGAAATAGGTGTACTTCACGATTCCTTGCATTCAATTAAAGTCAAATTAAAACGTATACATGCCAAGAATCCTTAAGCCATGTATTTTTGTTATTATTGTTTAGTTACTCAATCGGTTTTTTTTGTTATTATGTGCTTTTTTTTTACTACTCTTCTCGTAGATTCACTCTGTTAGAGTTATAAATAAATACCTATCATCAACTTGAACGTCAATAAGATAGATTACCTTTTCTTTAGCTTCCGGCCTATACTTCAAAAAAACCAATTCGGACGTATTGGTTAAATCTGCGGCTGATGCTGAAATCACTGGATATAGATTTCCCATAGGAAATTGCCTTCCCATTTTCAAGACTGTATAGCGTATTGGACAACACGAAAAACCGTCAGTGGAAAGACCTTTGGCCAAGTGTCATTCAAAACTTGAGCATTGGTCCAGGCTAGTTAATCGAAAATAGCTCCTTGACGCTTACCCTCACACCACAAAAATCACGAGGGGCAACTTAATAACCTTTAGGTCGGAAACCTCGCCACATCATCATACTTAACAGACCTGTCGCCAGCAGATCACCTTTTCAAATGGCCCGATGATAGTCTTAGGCAGAAAAATATTGAAAATATTAGTCATGAATTGGGAAAGACTTTGAAGACTAAAAAAGGGGATTTTTTTCCTTTGCTTCTTGCCAGGAAGTTAAAAGTAATTTAAATCTATTATCATGAATCTTTCAAAAATAAAAAGATCACGTACCCTTCCATGGCAATTATTTGCTGCTTGGTCAACTGGTAGTGGTAAACCTGTGCAGAATGTGCCAATCTCCTGTCGCCAGTAGGCGTGGAATCTTTGTTAGGCCCGGTTACACCGTAAGCGGGGTATTCGACATCCGCTGCAGCCTTTGCTTTCTTTTGCAACCTGTAAAATAAAGTACAATTTTATACAAAAAAAGCGTTTTATATAACAAAAGTCTAGATAATTACCTGACATAGCCGTAAACGAGTAGGGCTAAAGCGGCTAAGGCTGCAGCACTAGTCCCCGCTATAAGTGCTATAAATAAAAACATTTTAACATTTAATTTTTTGTACAATAAAGTTGATTTATTACCTGTGATTACGATATTGTCCTTGTCATTATCGAAATCGATAAGCTTCGATTTTACTACTTGTGACTCCTGAAGAAAGTCCGGCACGACCACGTTTGGCTCCAAGTCCTCCTCTTCGTACTTTTTACTCGTAATGGGCGGATCTTCTGCAATCGCGTTTGTGTCACTATGGCTAATGATGAAATTAATTTACAAAGAAAGTTTACCGTAAACGGGTTCAATTTTTTGAGGCTGCGGGTTGAGATCCGGGGTGAAAAACCTTTCGTCCGTGGGAGGGGAAGCGAATGAGCTACCTCCTCCCGGGAGTAGCACTGGGATCTCGTACGTGAATTGCTTTTGAGGTCGATGCCTGTAAAGTGGAGGAGACGGGTCCGTATCAATATTTTCTTGACTGTCTTCTATCCCGAATTTCTTCTTCAGCCACATGGTGTACTCTCTCATCCTCTCGTCTGTAAAATAAAAAAAAACCATGATCATTAAATTTGTCCGATTATACTATACTGTAATTAGTGATATTTAGTTTGTTAATTTTCTTTTTTATTTTTGCAGTACACCCTGGAATAAAAGGTTGATTCTGTATATTTCATAAAAAATTATACAACTTATTAATAATTACACTAATTATTATTATTTTGAGATCGTGAGATGCGTTCTGGTGTAGGTTTAGAAAAACATTTTCTTTGTCGTGCCACGAAGTGCCAAATCTACAAGCTAAAATGTTATCAGATAATAAAAATCCCTTTTTAGAAGTTTTCTTTATTGGTGGATGATTTAAAAATTTTTAACTCCGCTCTCGACTGTTAGTTTACAGGGGGAACTGGACTTCTTTATTAAGTGGTGTGAGCAGAATTGTCTTCCTTTGAATAATAACAAATGCAAATAATTAAATTTACTAAAAATATCTCGTGAAGTTACCTCCAGAAAGAGGACTTAAGCAGTGTTCTGATGGACCAAATAACTTCTTTCAATGCAGGGTTCCATCTTGGTAGAGGTCATTAGACAAAAAAGACTAAATGATGGGTTCACCGAGCTTTCGGCACTGCCAAAGTGCCATCAGGGCATTCCCGAGGATGAAGAAAACGATTAATATGAGAAACTATTATACAAGTGTTTTGAGTTTAAGGCTATGGAGGACATGGCCAGCATAAAATATTTTGACGGTGAAATCAGACATCTCGCTAAAAATCCGTTTGACTAAAGGTCCAACTATTTTTTTGTTCTGAATAGCATATTCTTTCAGGTACTTTTGTGATTACCTGAGAATGAGAACCACTTGACCTTTCGTTGGTTGATGAGCTAGCTCGAGATGGGGAATTGGTGTCCGAGTGGATCGAAGTCACGATAGCTCAAGCGGCGTATTGAGCCGAAGATCGTGAGTTCGAATCCCGCTCTTGACACTGACTTTTTCATTTCAACAAATACCTTTCATAAAAAGATTAATTAATTGAAAGAAGTCATTTGGTCAATTAGACCACAAAACATAATAGATTTAATACGTAAAACGAAGTATATATTCACTAACAGCTCTCCGTGGCTACTTATATGTCGCCGAGAATCGAATCCTGATCACACATTTGAAAAATGGCAAAAAGGAGAGAAAATTGGAAAGGTTGTAGATTACGATGGGGAGCTGGTGTCTGAGCGGGTCGAGGTCACGATAGCTCAAGTGGTTAGAGCAGCGGCATATTGAGCCAAAGATCTTGGGTTCGAATCCCGCTCGTGACACTAACTTTCTCACTTCAACCAATACCTTACATAAAAAGATAAATTATAGTGAAACTCCTTTAAAGGTCATCCATGGGGTCAGTACTTAAGCCCTATTTCAGGAGGTATCTTCTAAAAAGAGATTTTTATTATCTGATAACATTGTAGTATGTAGATTTGAAGGTGGATTTTCAAAGACTTTATGATCTTTAAAAATTTTACTTCTTTCAACTTGTTAATCCAACTTTATTTCTCATTAAAAATATATTATTATCATGTGATTAATTTTTCTTGAAAACCTTTCGATTTACGACTAATTTTCTTATTTTCGATTTTTTTTAAATTGAAAATCTCTGCAAGTTTAAAATTCAAAGAAAAAAGTTTCATCCGGTTTAACCCTTTCTTTGAATTCGATAGTTTGTAGTAAAAATGTAATACAACGGCTCTCTCACCGAAAATAGGGATTATCTCCGATCACCCCACTATTGATTTTTTAATCTGAAAAAATCTTTAAAGTAGCAAAATATATCAAAAAATGATGTCAGGCTAGACAAGCAGAAATTTAAAAAATTTCTTTAGACAATGTAACTTTATAACGATTTAACCATGCATTCATTTTATATATTTGTTATTTATTTCAAATGTTACTTATTTTTTCAATGTTGTATGTTTTTTCCCCTGCCAGTCGGCATGTATGACCATTACGGGCACCTCGTATTTTTGAGATGGGGTAATTTCCATTTCTTCCCTACTCATATTATTATTCTTAGCTATTCAACACTTTATTCTTCTTATTAATTATTCATTATTAAGACTACAATTACAACTCACCTACATTTGATCTCTCTTGATTCCATTTTGCCCCATTTGCGATATTTGGTACGTACGGAAGAACAAATTTTCAGTTAGCAAGGCGCTTGAATAGATTAAAACCGTCGTGACAGATTGGTCGTGCAGGTTTAGCGTTGTCGAGCGCCGTGTTTTCCCGAGTATTTCATTTTATTTATTCTATTCTATTAATAAATTTACGTTTCGATGATATCAATAAGCTGGTTATTTATCATTAAAAAAGTATTATTATAAAATAATAATAAACATTATAAGAGAACACAACAGTTAAATCACTTTCATGTAATCAATTTTTCTGGGAAACCTTTCGATTTACTGGGCTATTTTTTATTTCAAATCTCTATAAATTTCAACTATCTTAAGAAATGTTCAGTCAATTTAATTTTTCTATTTTCTTGTAAAAATGTCATAACGCGGCTCTTCCACATGATGTCTGGACTGTGTCGGATCATTCCGCTATTACTACGAGACTTTTACTTTTATTAATTTGCTTAAATGTATCGTTCATTATTAATTAATTATTTTATATTTTATGTGTGGTGTTTAGTGACCAGCGTGATTGTTTGAAGATCGTGAGATGCTGTCGGGTGTGACGTAGGTTTTAGAAAAACATTTTCTTTATCGTGCCTACGTTCCGATCTTTATTGAGAGTGGCACTCTCAAGACGACACCCAATAATGACACATTTATACAGAAAACAAACACTTTGAGCCCTGAAGATGATCTTAATAAAGATCGAAACGTTGGCACAATAAAGAAAGTGTTTTTCTAAAACATACGTCACACCAGACCGCATCTCTCGATCTTCAAATAATTCTTCTTATGAATTATCCATTATTAAGACTACAAGTACAACTGACCTACATTTGATCTCTCTTGATTCCGTTTTGTCCCATTTGCGATATTTGGTACGTACGGAAGAACACATTTTCAGTTAGCAAAGCGCATGAATAGATTAAAACCAACATGACGTATCGGTCGTGCAGGTTTAGCGTAGTCGAGCGCCGTGTTTTCCCGAGAATATCATTTTATTTATTTTATTAATACATCAACGTTTCGATGACAAAACAAGCAGGTTATTTCTCATTAAAAAGATATTATTATGCAATAATAATAAACAATACAAGAGAACAACAGTTAATTCAATCTGATGTGATCAATTTTTCTGGGAACCTTTCGACTTTCTGGAATATTTTTTATTGCAAATCTCTGTAAAATTCAACAATCTGAGATATTTTTCAGCCGGTTAATTTTTTTTCTTTTGAAGTCGATAGTTTCTTGTAAAAATGTCATAACGCGGCTCTCCCCCCTGAAGTCTGGACTCATTCCGCTCTCACTACAAGACTTATAATTTTATTAATTTGTTTAAATGTATTGTTCATTATTTTTCTTTTTTTAACATCCATTATATTTAGTGGTCTATTGACCAAATCACTTGTTTCAATTTTACTTAATTTTTTTGTAAGATTTTGGTTGATATGAAAAAGCTAGTGTTCCATGTCATAATTTGAAAGGTTGTACGTTAAGATGGGGAGTTGGTGTCCGAGTGGATCGAAGGAAGGGTAGCTCAAGTGGTTAGAGAATCTATATTATCTTTTTATGTAAGGTATTGGTTGAAATGAAAAAGTTAGTGCCACGAGCGGGATTCGAACCTACGACCTTCTGCTCAGTACGCTGCTGCTCTAATCACTTGAGCTGATCATACTGCTCTAATCATAAAAAGATTAATTATAGTGAAACGTCTTTCGCTATAATTTCGTCAGCCATCGGGCCACTACTTAAGCCCTTTTTCAGGAGGTGTATTCTAAAAAGGGATTTTTATTATCTGATAACATTGCAGTATGTAGATTTAGAGGTGCATTTTCAATGACTTTACGATCTTCAAAATTTTTCACTTCTGGCATTTTGCTAATGCCTCCGCTAGGTTTACTAAACTTTTTGTCCGAAATAAGCACTAGTTTTCTTTTTTTATTGTGGGTTGTCCAGAAAATATTGCTCGTTTATGGGTATAATTCAGGTGGATTGCTTTAATCTGAGAGGAATACATTTCGTTAGTGATTGTTTCGACAGTTTTCAAGAAGCTGTAGTAAAACAGCCCAAATGAAGCCCGACAAATAGTCGCCATCCCTTTTTTTAATGATTTGGGATGGAGGCTTTGGAAAATTTGGTACGGTTTTTCCTTTGTTGGGCCATTCAGAACGTCTGTTGTTATAGTAGACAAACCACCTTTCATCACAAGTAATAATTGTATCCAGAAAAGGATTAGATTTTTTCACTTTTGTAAAAGGTGGTTCTAATCACAGATACGTTGTTTATAAATGGTCGTCAACCTAAAAATCTGTAAGTGGAATCACCTTTTACAAAAGTGAATCTACATACTCATTTCACCTCCGTCATTTCTAGGAAAGGTTCGTTTCTGTTTCGATAAAGAAGTATTGTGCAAACTTCATAACGATGATTTTTTTTTTTTTTTGGAACTCGTTTAACCTACGAGTAACCCAAATTTCGAGATTTAGATTTTTCACCTTTCACTGCCTTAAGTTGTCAGCAACAGACCGTTTGCTAACTGAAAGATTCTCTGCAAGTTCTCGAACAGTCGTTCTGGGATTTTCTTCGGCTAAAACTCGCAGAACATCATCATCTAAAGAAATCCTTCCTCGCCCTTCTTAGTCTTCAAGGCTCAAAATTCAAAAAGGTGGGGTTGAGATAGGAAGTTAGTGTCCGAGTGGATCGAATTCACGATAGCTCAAGTGGTAGAGCAGCGGCGTATTTAGCCGAAGGTCGTGGGTTCGAATCCCGCTTGAGACATTGATTTTTTTTCTCAACCAAAATCTTAATTAAATATTAGTACCAATAGCTTATCGATCCAAACAGAATAGTCCTAGGCATAGAACTC